AGCCATTAGGGGAGTGAACCAACAGAAGGAAGACCTTTCTGTCTGTCTCTCTCACTCTCTATAATCCTACCTGTCAAGAAAAAAAAAAGAAAAAAAGATCCACAATTTGGTGCCTGCTTCTTCTTGTAACCATTGAAGAATTCTAGTTTCTTTCCTTAGAATACTTCCTTGCTTATAACAAACACATGGAGGCAGAGCGGAATGTTGCTACCCCAAACCAATCACTGCCAAGAGCAGCCGACTGGAGTGTTCCTGGGGCGTTCACTCCTTGACAGGGGAACGGAAAGCTGAGAGCTGAGGAAACTGGGCAGCAGCTGTCAGCGAACATGCAAGCCAGGCAAGGGGCCAGCACTGGGACACAGCAGGTAAAGCCCCCACCTGCAACGCCAGCATCCCACATGGGAGAAGGCTAGAGACCTCGCTGCCCCACTTCCAGTCCAGATCCCTGCTAATACCCTGGGGAAAGCAGCAGGAAATGGCCCAAGTCCTTGGGCCCCTGCCATCTGTGTGGGAAACCCGAATGAAGCTCCCGGCTGCTGGTCTTCGCCACTGCAGCCATCTGGGGAAGGAACCAGTGGATGGAAGATTTCTCTCTCTGTCTCTCTCTCTTTCTCTCTGTAACTCTGACCTTCAAATAAATAAATCTTTGAAAAATAAAATAAAAGCGGGCCGGCGCTGTGGTGTAGTGGAAAGGTACCGCCGGCATCCCACATGGCCACCAGTTCGAGTCCCAGGTGATCCACTTCCGATCCAGCTCTCTGCTATGGCCTGGGGAAGCAGGAGAAGATGGCCCAAACCCAGGGCCCCTGCACCCGCGTGGGAGACCGAGAAGATGCTCCTGGCTCCTGGCTTCAGATCAGTGCAGCTCTGGCCGTTACAGCCATCCGAGGAGTGAACCAGCAGATGGAAGACTCTCTCTCTCTCTCTCTCTGCCTTTCAAATAAATAAATCTCAGCCCCACAGGCAGCTGCAGGCGGGGGTCCTCCCTGCTCTCTGCTGCCCCTTTGTTCTCTGTTCCTGACCCGTCCAGTGTGGCTGGTGACGAAGGAAGGTGCCACGCCATCTGCGAGCACCGTGTGGCTGGCAGTGACTCTCCTTCACTAACTGCTACCAACACGAATCCACCCACACTTGCCAAGCCTGCGACGACTCAGGATCACCATCACCGGCACCCACGTTCCCACCACCTGACCAAGACCCTTGTCCCCTTACATGACACACAAACCCCTGGACTCCCAAGTGTGGCGTGTAGACACACCATCAGGCACACGTGCTCACACACACAGGCACATGCTACTCAGGGGTTTAAAAGGCAGCCCTAGTTTAAGTGATCACTCACGATCTTTAACACACTAATCCATATGAAGAATTTCCTGATATAAACACAACAGGCCACACTCCCAAATCTATTTGACTAGAGATCTTTCTCAAGGTGCACACCTGGGAACACACTTACCTGAACTATTCCCCACCAGCCCGATCCTTGCCTGTATGTTTCAGTAGGTGCACTGGGCTGTCATCTACCTCCCTCTAGGTGTGCCTTGCCCGGCCTGTGAGATGAACGTAACCGCAGTTCTGGGCAGTGACTACCCCACCAATACCTCTCTCACCTTCTTAAACCCCCAGAACCCAGAGGACCGTTTTGTGACCACTTCCTTTACAACTTCATGTCACTCAGTAACCTTGCGTCTACACTGTCACCTCCCTCCAGGCAGGGAACCACTTCTTTTCCCTCTGAAACCTGAGCTATACCTAGGAAGGAGTAAGCACTCAAACTGCTAAACAGAACCATCAGTTTCACACGTGCATCCCACCAGCAATCTGCAGACAACAAACCAGGAAGCCCAGAGAGGTGAAAAACTTGCCCAAGGCTGTTCAGTTGGCTGGGAACTGAATCAGGACAAAGATCTGAGCACACGGACCTAAAACCTATGGCAGAGGAAATCACGTCCAAAGACACACTTTCTAGTATCAGTTAGGTTCAGAAAGCCCATCGGAGGGTGTCACCAAGAACGCATGGCCTCAAAGCGACCACCGTCTTCAATATTCCTCATGGTCCCGTCCTACTGATAGCCGTCACGGGTAGGGACCTGGTTAAATGTCCCAGGACAGCCTTTATTTTGTCTTACTGTCCAACAAGTCTTCTCACCATTTGTTTACGGAATGATTGAAAGCAGAAGTAGCTACTTCAGAGTCAGACTGGACTCCGTTCTCCCTCGGAACCGCTTCCAGCCCCGCAGGCGGCCGTGGGGGCACAGGTCCGTGTGAGGGGAGAGCCACACACTCAGTGTGCTCTATGTATTCCATAGAGCTTAGAACGTCATGGAAATGAAATGATGAGCAGGGGTTCTTTCTTTTAAAAAAAATTATTTGAGAGGCAGAGTTGGGGGAGGGGAGACAGACAGAGATTTTCCAGCCGCTGGTTCAGTCCCCGAATGGCTGCAGTGGCTGGAGCCGGGCCAGGCTGAAACCAGGAGCTTCTTCCCGGTCTCCCACATGAGTGCACGGGCCCAAGTACTTGGGCCATCTTCTGCTACTTTTTCAGGTGCATTAGCAGGGAGCTGGATCGTAGGCGGAGCATCTGGGACTGGAACTGGCGTCCATATGGGATTAGGGCGCTGCACGCGGAGGCTTAACCCACATCACAGCGCCCGGCCCGAGCACGGATTCTTTCCACAAAGTGATCATCAGAGGATTCTGCTCTCAGCACCAGGACAGAAAGTCGGCTGGTGTTTTCTCCAGGAAGAAACTGAGCAGTGAGGCCCACGGAGACGCTTCACTGCAGCTCTGGGAAAGGAGAGCCCTGGTTCCCACGGAGTTCTCACTGCCCACACAGCCAATGTTCCAGGTACATGACGGCTCTGCCCTAAGAAGGCAACTCCTGGCCCCAGCCCTCGAATGTGACCTCGTCTGGAAACAGGGTCCCCTGAGTGGGCCCCAATCCAGTACCTGCTGCCCGTATCAATAGGAGAGCGGTGGACACAGAGACACTGAGGGAGGGACAACGATGCGAGGGGGCCCGTGTCTACACCGCGAGGACAGGGCCTGCGAGAGCCTCGCTCCGGCCCCCAGGAGGGCCCAGCCTGCCACCACGGCAGTTCCCACTTCCAGCTTCTGGAACCGAGAATTTCTATCAAGTGGGAGACCTGGATGGACTTCCTATCTCCTGGTTGTTGTGGCTATTTGGGTAGCAAAGCAGAGGATGGAAGGTCTCTCTACCTTTCCAATAAATAAAACAAAACAAAACACACTATAATCTTCCCTTTAAAAAGTTACTATTAATTGCTCATAAAATAATTAACGCCACCAATACTTAGTATGCATGTTCTGAAAACTGGTCTACATTACATCTTAAAGATTCCTAACTCAAAAACATGGTCCCTGCCTTCAAAGGACTCTCTACCAAAGGGGAAATAGAGATATACTCAGAGCGCACATATATCTGTACTCTATTTGGATAATGTTTATTCTAGAATTGACAATGCTTTAGACAACGTAATAAAACAACACTTTCACGAGTTAGTTGAAAAATTCTTCAATTTTCCTTCTTAACTCTTTGCTGATCATTGTGTCATGTTAGAGATTAAGAACTTCATCTCCCAGAACTTTTTAAAACTGTTAGTATCTTTTAATGATTTGCTGCGTTTGTGTTTTACCCTTCCCTTGTGCCAGGACAAGAATTACAGTTGAAGCCAGCTAGCTGGGGTTTCATTTTCCAAAGAGAAAACCAGGAAACTAATGTTTCAACCCTTCTAAAAGGTGCCGCTGCTTCTAGAGCTTGTTTGTGTGGGCAGCATATCCCAGTGAAAGCTGTCTTTGTGGCTGAAGACTCTTCCAGGTCCTCGGGAGCCAGCTGAGTACCCCAATCGGGGCATGGTGCTCTTAACCGGGAACACAGAAACGCTGTGCCGGCTTCAACTCTGCTCCCCTGGTGGTGGCATGAGGGGAGAGGTGGGGACTAAAGTTAGAGACAATTAAATCCATTAGAAACACACTTTGTGATCGCTTTTAAAGGAGAAAAAGCAAAGAAAAAAAAATGTGAAATAACATGCATTCGGAATGTCAGGTGGAGGATTACCGTGGTTTGGTCTAGGAAGCTCGCTGCACGGGGACACAAAAGCAAGCCTGTAACAGTGAAATGACTCCAAAAGTCTTTATCAACCTCTTTGTTTACTTATGTCAATAGGAGCTGGAAAGTTATATTTGCAAAGGCTAAAACACAAAGCAGATAATCTCTCAATGGATAATTGAGTTGACACTATTAGAATCTGTGAGTTTCAAAGGCAGCAGAAGTAATGACCCCATTTTCTGGAAGTTTAAAATTCAATGGGAAAAGAACAAGTGAAAATAAATAAATTGAAACGGAAGCCAATCCATACCCAACCTCCTGATCTCTTCCGTTCCGCGTCTTGCCTCATCCCCTTTCCTGCTTTCTCTCCTGGAATGTGGCTAAGCAAATACTTTTCACATACATAATTTCTCCCATATCTGCACCCAGTATGTGCGGTTCCTAGTAATTCCTGAATAGCATCTTAATCACAATTCACAGTGCATCAACAAATCTGAACCTAGTTCGTATCTCATGGGAAACACAGAAATAAGAAAATGTGACATAAGAAAAAGGAGAAACCAGAGACCCGACACCATCCTGCCTCACGCGATCTCTAACAGCTTCAGGAATTCAATCATAAACGTAGAAAACAAAAAATAGACTTCTAAATAATCTGTGATCTCTAAGAATTTAACATTTTCCTTCCCGAAATTTAAAAATATATCCCATTTTTATTAGACAGTCTTTATAAACAGATTTTTTAAAAAGTTTGAAAAATCCAGTAAAAGTAAGTTTCAAACAGTTGTCCTAGCCAGAGGTGCAACACTGAGATAATTATTCCTTTGTACACAATTTAGGAGTCAGTTTGTCGGGGACGCAGACTTCTCTCAATTCAATATTTTAATTTGAAAAATTAAAAATTCATCAAAAGGAAAATAAGCAGACATACATTCTTACCAATACTTTTATTTGTGCTTTTAATTTTTTTTTTATTTTTTTTTTATTTTTGACAGGCAGAGTGGACAGTGAGAGAGACAGAGAGAGAAAGGTCTTCCTTTGCCGTTGTTCACCCTCCAATGGCCGCCGCTGCAGCCGGCGCACCGTGCTGATCCGATGGCAGGAGCCAGGATCCAAGTGCTTTTCCTGGTCTCCCATGGGGTGCAGGGCCCAAGCACCTGGGCCATCCTCCACTGCACTCCCTGGCCATAGCAGAGAGCTGGCCTGGAAGAGGGGCAACCGGGACAGAATCCGGCGCCCCGACCGGGACTAGAACCCGGTGTGCCGGCGCCGCAAGGTGGAGGATTAGCCTATTGAGCTACGGCGCCGGCCTATTTGTGCTTTTAATTTTATACTAACAAGTCGTTCATCTACAGATGGTTCTTGCAAGGTGTTATCAAATTCAAATTTACTTTTTTTTTTTTTTTTGACAGACAGAGTGGACAGTGAGAGTGAGAGAGAGAGAGAGAGAGAAAGGTCTTCCTTTGCCGTTGGTTCACCCTCCAATGACCGCCACGGCTGGCGCGCTGCAGCCAGCGCACCACGCTGATCGGAAGCCAGGAGCCAGGTGCTTCTCCTGGTCTCCCATGGGGTACAGGGCCCAAGCACTTGGGCCATCCTCCACTGTACTCCCTGGCCATAGCAGAGAGCTGGCCTGGAAGAGGGGCAACCAGGACAGAATCCGGCGCCCCGACTGGGACTAGAACCTGGTGTGCCACCGCCGCTAGGCGGAGGATTAGCCTGTTGAGCCGCGGCGCCGACCACAAATTTACTCTTTATTAACTTAGAAGAAAAAAAAATATTAGGAGGATAAACTCTACAAAAGTCATTCAAACAAGAAAAAACATTACTATGGTCATGGAAACAATAAAAACCTGCAAATCAAATTTAAAAAATCCTTAAAAATTCTAACAATTGTTAATGTTACATAGAGAGAAATTGGCCTGTGTGTGAAAGAGGCCTAAGGAAAACAAAGCACTTGGAAATGAATGCAGCAGCCTGGGAAACACACCTTGGAAGCGGCCCAGTACTTTCCACTACAAAGCCCTAACTACGCCCCAATAACTTTATAGGTGATCCCAGCCTTCCCCCAAAGGAAGGCACCACAGAAGAATCCTCTGGGCTACCCAGAGTGGTAATACCCCGCTCAAAACCTTGGTGGAAGGTTCTACTTACTTCACACCTAGAAAACCCTTTGTCCAAAAATGGACGGGGGGGAGCGGGGAAGGCAGGAAGACCTGAACGCCACTGGCTTACCAGCCCCAGTCTGAACACAGGTGGCACTCTGAGCCCTTTCCTGTGACACGGGCCTGGCCATCAGGTGTGCTGCTGCTGGCTCCCAGCTCTCCCAGGTCTTTGCCGAGACGCCCACCAGTCAGGTGCTACCCCCAGTCTGAATGGCTGGGGGCACGCCTTCACCCTCTGGGATTCCAACCGGGGAGGTGCCCATCCATCCTGATGGATGCCCTGCCCCATCAGCCCTCGCTACCTCACTGACCACTCCTCTCTGTCTCACACCTGAATTCTACCTTGAATGAAGACAAGAACCTCCAAGCAACCATCTCCACTAAGATTCATTAAAGAAAGGCAATTATTTTTAGCACCTTAATTATACCACAATAAATGAATCCTGAAGAACCAGGCAAGAAAATATATTTTTTGTACCTACACTTGAATACAACAACATCTTATGCTCTTAAAATTCACTTAATGACAATAAAAATTACAAACCCGATTCTTCCCTTTCAGGCATAAATTAAACAATTAGGAGGGCACAAAAGCCTAGAGTAGGGTGATTTTAATTCTATAAAGTTACTTGTTGAAGGTAATTAGATGCTTAACTTTAAAAGCATCTTTCTTCACACTGAAACAATGAAACAAAAGGCTTTACAGTGAAACACTCAACGGCTGATTCCATTTAGTACGTTACCAATGACCCATCCGTTCCAAATACACCGAAATATGGAAAATGCCCCCTTCAAGATAAAGAACACTTGATAGTATCTCAAAAAGAGAAACTCACACAGCTCGCACTCTGCCAGCAAGGGACCACACGCTGCCAAAGCAGCCCAGGGGAGCAGAAGGGAGTCTGAAGTCTGAGGCAACGCTGGGTCAGCACAGCGGCCATCACGCAAGGCAGCAGGAATCCCAAGGGCCAAGAATACCTTACCAGGTGAGTGGCCAAGAAGGAAGGCAGTATTTGCAAGTCTGTGGGCTATTTATGACAATGCCTAAAGGGAGAGATGACACTGACCTACCTCATAGGAAAAAGTTAAAACCTTTTTTATCTCTCTCTCTTTTTTTTTTAAGATTTATTTTACTTATTTGAAAGGCAGAGTTACAGAGAGAGGGAGAGACACAGAGAGAGGTTTTCCATCTGCTGGTTTACTCCCCAAATGCCCACAACAGCCAGGGCAAGGCCAGGAGCCAGGAGCTTCAGCCATTAGCAGAGAGCTGGATTAGAAGCAAAGCAGCCAGGACTCAAAGCGATGCTCATTGCCTCTCCCACTACACCACAGTGCTGGTCCCAAAACCTTTTTATCTCAACCAAAAGAAACCATCCCAGGGCCGGCCTTGTGGCACAGGGAGTCAAGCTACAGCTTCTAACGCTGGCACCGCACATCAGAGTGCTCCGCTCCAGATCCAGCTTCCTTCGAATGCATCCTCGAAGGAAGCAGATGAAGGTCTAAGTCACCGGGCCCCTGCCACCCACATGGAGACCCAGACTGACTTCCAGGCTACTGGCTTGAACCAACTGTTGAATGCCAACAGTCTCTGGAATTCAGTTAGCACATCAGCTGGGGGGGGGGGGGGGCGGCGGGTACTGGAGCAGGACTACCCAGATTTCTGTTCTTAGTCCTCTACTCCTGCTTTAGCTGTGTCGACTGTGGCAAAGGTACAGTCTTTCTGTCCCTGAGTTCCTTCATCTGTAATGGAGAATAGTACCAGTTCCTATTCCACAAGGCTGGTATAATGTCTACAAAGAGTTAACACATGGATAGAGAATTCAAGGTCTAGAGCTTGGTATAAAACTGTGAGCTACTCAAATGACTTTTATTCCCTCTGCTGCTATTACTACAGCTGAAAGAGCTCTCCTGAATCCTCAGTCATGTCTTTGGATTACTACTGCAGCTATCATTAAACACTAGATCTTCAGGTAAAATAACAAAAAACGATACCGAAGTAAGTCATGAGATGTCAGCTGAAACATCTTGTGAACAAGTAGATAGTCCTGATCTTTCCTCTCTTTTTAAAGATTTATTTATTGATTTGAAAGGTGGAGGAACAGAGAAGCAAAGGCAGAGAGAGAGAGGCCTCCCATCCACTGGGTCACTCTCCAAATGGCCACAATGGCCAGAGCTGGGCTGATCCGAAGCCAGGAGCCAGGAGCCAGGAGCTTCTGCCCAGTCTCCCACGTGGGTGCAGAGGCCCAAAGACTTGGGCCATCTTCTACTGCTTCCCCAGGCCACAGCAGAGAGCTGGATTGGAAGTGGGGCAGCTGGGACTTAGAACCGGCATCCATATGAGATGCTAGCACTGCAGGGGACAGCTTTACCCGTTACGTCACAGTGCCAGCCCCTACCTAATCTTCTAATAAAAGGGCTGCCACTCAGAAATGTGTCTTTGCCACTACATGTCAGAAGAGGGAAAAGGTCACGTCTTTAAAAACAGGGTTACTGATTTCCCTAAAGATGGAGGACTGACGTACAGTTGCAGGCATACTCTCCCGCCAAATTACAGGAAAAGGATTTCTTCTGAGGCTGAAACTCACCAGGACGAGACGTCTGCAAGGTAAGACGCTGACACCACTTTCAGACCCAAGAAATCTGAATACCAAGCATATAAAATGAATAGTGGGGTTAGGGTTACACGAAAGACACTTCAAAGGCTAAAGTGACAGCACCAGGGACTTTGGGAAGTGGCAAAGAACAATTATAAACAGAGGTATGGCTTAAAAATAATTTTAAAAAGCTGTTAGAGGGACTGGTGTTATGGCATAGTGAGTTAAGCTGGCACCTATGACCCTAGCGTGCCATACGGGTGCTGGTTCAGGTCCCAACGGCTCCGCTTCTGGTCCAGCTCCCTCCTAATGCATCTGGGAAAGCAGCAGAAGACGGCTGAAGTGCTTGGGCCTCTGCCGGCCATGTGGGAGACCCAGATGGAGTTCCAGGCTTCAGTCTGGCCCAGCCCTGGCCATGGCAGCCATTTAGGGAGAGAGCCAGTGGATGGAAGATCTCTCTGTCGCTCCGAAACTCTGCCTTCCCTCACTCCCAGCTCACTGCAAACAATCAGGTGAACGCCCTGCCGCACCCCCGCGGGAGGCTGCAGGTCAATTCCCCGGAGGAGGTTTTTTTCATGGTATTATCACTGGGTAAGGTAAACTCAGAACAGATGAAACACTAAAAATGAAGAGAATAAAGAAGAAGGGTAAGCGCTTCTTCCCCAGTGAGGTTTCCAAAGGCCTGAGGACAGGCTTGCGCTCCCCAGGCACGCGGCAGAGTCTCCTCCAGGGAACCTGACCGGCATGAAATGAAACGCCTACAAAGGAGACATCAGAGAGGTTCCCCAACGAACGGCTGAGCCAGATTACCCTAAACTGAAATCCGTATGTCCTCAAGCTTCAGCCAGAGGCAGGGAACTGCTGGTCAGGATTTCTCCCCTCGCCCTAGAACGAGGCGGTGAACAGACCCACCACGCCTTAAAGGAGAGCCTGAACTGGGGAGCCGGAGGCCGAAGGAAGCAAAACAAGAGAAATTCGGAAGAAACAGGTTAATAGGGAAAGTAAATTTCACTGCCAACCCCGAAAGAAATCGAAGACCATGAGCAACCATGAAAGAACAGGTGGTATTCTGAAAAGTTGAGCATTGCTTTTATCTGCACAGGGTTGGAAGATAAAACTGAGAATCTCTCTAATGACAGAAAATCAAAAACAACAATGAGGAAAACACCTGAAAATACAAAAGTAATTAGAGGGCCAGTTCAAATCTCTACATCAATGAAAATGGGCATTCTTGGGGCCTGGAGTGGTGGCACTGCCGGTGGGTAACTCCCTGAGACGGGAGAGTCCATGTTGAGCACTGGTTCCAGTCCTGGCTGACCAATCTCGATCTAGCTTCCTGCTACTGTGCCTGGGAAGGTGGCAGAAGATGACCCCCATGCGGGGGAACCAGATGGAACTCCTGGCTCCTGGCTTTAGCATGGCCCAGGCCTTGCTGTTGCGCAAATGCGGAAAGTGAACCAGCAGATGGAAGACTCTCTCTCTCTGTCTCTCTCTCTCTCTGTCTCTGTCTCTTGCTCTGCCTTTCAAATAAATTAAATCTTTTTAAAAAGATAACAGAGAACTCAGAACACATACACACAGAGACTGGGCAAAGGAAATCAAGGGACAAACTCAACAAAACTGTCAGAATTGAAAACCATCTTCCAGGTCAGAAGAAGCCACCAAACACTCAGGATGCTGCTGGAAGAGTGTCTGGACAAGCTACAGACACGACCACAAGCAAAGCAGGTAACTGGGACTCGAACCAGAGGGACCACAGCTCAGGACAGCAGCTGCCCACAAGGCCAGGACAGAGAGTGCATAGATGAGAACAGGTCGGGAGAGTCTAGAGCTTTATCACCAAGAAAATCAAACACATGGAATAATTCAGAGGCTACTTACAGACAGGACAGAGTTGGGGATAAATGAACACTAAGCCACCATTAAAGTGTATGTATGCCAGCTGTTCCTACAACAAAATACACGAGGTTGGGCATTTAATAAACGGAGGTTTACTTACTGAGCCCCAAGTTTTAAAGGCTGAAAGAAGACTGGGCAACCGCAGCTGCCTGGTTTCCAGTGAAAGCTGGTAGCAAATGGCAATACATGTGTACAGGAGATACCCGCGGGACAGACTCCCCTGTCTGTAACCGCTCACTCTGGTCAGCATCAACCTCTTCCAAACGACCTCACCCCCTGCATCAGGCCCCACCTCTTCAAGGCCCCCCTTTTCAGCATCACCACACTGGGACCACGTGTCCAGAACAGGAACCTCTGGGCGCCACACTCAAGCCAGGTTTGAACCACAGTGCCCCTCACAACTGTGCAGGAGAGGCAAAGTCACCGCAGAACACACCACCTGGCAGGGCCCCCGATAACAAGGCAAACACTACAGACTTCCCTAACCAAAGCAGAGTCACCATCTCGGGAGAACGGAGAGGCTGCAGGGACAGGATGGGCCAGACGGGCCACAGGACGGACGCGACACGTAGCCTCTGTCGGGGCAGACAGCGGCAGTGTAGGTCTGTTACTAGAGTTAAGAGTGAAGGCCAGGCCGGCGCCGTGGCTCACTAGGCTAATCCTCCACCTCGCGGCACTGGCACACCGGGTTCTAGTCCCGGTTGGGGCGCCGGATTCTGTCCCGGTTGCCCCTCTTCCAGGCCAGCTCTCTGCTGTGGCCAGGGAGTGCAGTGGAGGATGGCCCAGGTGCTTGGGCCCTGCACCCCATGGAAGACCAGGAAAAGCACCTGGCTCCTGCCTTCGGATCAGCGCAGTGCGCTGGCTGCGGCGGCCATTGGAGGGTGAACCAACGGCAAAAAGGAAGACCTTTCTCGATGTCTCTCTCTCTCACTGTCCACTCTGCCTGTCAAAAAAAAAAAAAAAAGAGTGAAGGCCACAACCTTCAGCCAAGACTGACGAAGGTGGTAGAGCCAAGAGACAGCAAACGAGTTCATGACAGTACATGTTTCGCTCTTTCCTTACCAGCTTCATGGAACTACCTCACATCCTATTTATTTTTTTATATTTTATTTATTTATTTATTTGACAGATAGAGTTAGTGAGAGAGAGAGAGACAGAGAGAAAGGTCTTCCTTCCATTGGTTCACCCCCAAATGGCCACTACGGCTGGCGCTGAGCCGATCCAAAGCCAAGAGCCAGGTGCTTCCTCCTGGTCTCCCATGGGGTGCAGGGCCCAAGTACTTGGGCCATCCTCCACTGCCTTCCCGGGCCACAGCAGAGAGCTGGACTGGAAAGGGAGCAACTGGGACTAGAACCCGGCACCCATATGGGATTGCCGGAGCTACAGGGGGAGGATTAACCAAGTGAGCCATGGCACTGGCCCCAACTTCACACCCTATTTAAATATCTTTGTAAAACAGTGGTAAGGGGCCAGCGCTGTGGCATAGCGGGTAAAGTCGCTGCCTGTGGTGCTGGCATCCCATACGGGCGCTGGTTCGAGTCTCGGTTGCTCCACTTATGATCCAGCTCTCTGCTATGGCCTGGGAAAGCAGTAGAAGGTGGCCCAAGTGCTTGGGCTTCTACACCCATGTGAGAGACCAGGAAGAAGCTCCTGGTTCCTGGCTTCAGATGGGCCCAATTTTGGCCACACTGGCCATTTGGAGAGTGAACCAGTGAATGGAAGATTGTCCTCTCTGCCTCTGCCTCTCTGTAGCTCTGCCTTTCAAGTAAATAAATAAATCCTAAAAAAAAAAAAAATGGATAAAATTCAGCAAAATTTTAGAATTTTTCCAAGTAATATTAATGCATACCTTGTAATTTGAAAACTGCACAAAGAGACTTAGAGGACAAGAATGTCGCCATTTAGATAAAACTACTATCAACATAGTGTTGCACTGTCTGCATATTCTTCTGCCCACATACTTATGTAGTTTAAAAGAAAGTATGTAATCATGCTGAATGTGCACATTTACCCAACGTTTTATTCAATTACCATTATATCATCGACACTTCCTGATGCCCTAAATATTCTTTACAAATGTCTTAATTACCCCCCTCATCCAACAGCACTCTCTATTTCATCGTTCTTCTACTTCTTCTTTGGCACAAAGAAATTTAGCAGGGCTTCCCTTTCTCAAAGCCCATCCCTGGGCTGGTGTGTTTCCGATTCCCTTCTTCCCTGTGGCCACGTAGGTCTCTCCTTCCACTCAGCCTCCCCCTGACATGGTGATGGATTGCAGGGTTTTAGCTTCCCTTTTCTCTTCTCACTCCGGATGACTCCCAGAACAATATGATACCTTGATAAATGCCAATCGCCAGGTTCTGTTAGTTCCTCCTTTCAAATAACGCTATCGACTTCCACTCATCTCAAGGGCCTCCATCCAGCCCAAGCTGGGATTATCATCAGCCTAGAGTCCTCACTAACCTCCCAGATTCCACTTCTGCCCCATTCCAAAGCATTTGCCACATAACAGTCATAACGATCCTTTAAAAATATAACCTCCTATCACCCTGCTTAAAACCCTTCAATAGTTCACTGCAGATTTTAGAATAAATTCCAAAACGTTTCTCTGTCTACAAGCTCCTACGTAGCCTGTTCCTGAGAACGTCACTGGCACTTCGCACCGTTCTAGCCTCATTTCACACACTCTTTCTCTGGTCCCTAATGATCCAACCAACATTAGTCTTTCTGTCTGCTGATCACACCAAGATCCTTCTTACCCCAGAGCCTGGGCACATGCTGTTTCCTCCGCCTGGAGTCACTCCTCCCTCCCTCTGCCAACTCTTTTCTCAGCTAACTCTTACGTGTGTTGAACAAGACCATCAGCTTGCCCACTGCACTCTATGTGAACAGCACCTGCTAGAGTCGGGCAACGTGAGTGCTCCACACAACTTCAGTAAAACAGTCTGCAACTTTCTTGTCTAATGTCTGTAGCCCTTGAGAACATAAACTACGTGAGAACAAACGCTGTTCAACACTTGGGCCTCCATGCTTAGCATAGCACCTCACATGAAACAAATATTCCATAAATACTTGTTAAATGAATAAATCCTTTCCAAATCTCTATCTTGGCATTTAAAACTCTCCTGATGGGACTGGCGCTATGGCATAGTAGGCTAAACCTCTGCCTGTGGCATCGGCATCCCATATGGGCACCAGTTCTTGTCCCAGCTGCTCCTTTTCCGATCCAGCTCTCTGCTACTGGCCTGGGAAAGCAGTGGAAAATGGCCCAAGTGCCTGAGCCTCTGCACCTGTGGGACACCTGGAAGAACTCCTAGCTTCAGACTGGCCCAGTTCCGGACCTTGCAGCCATCTGGGGAGTGAACCAGTGGATGGAAAACCTTTCTCTCTGTCTCCCCCTCCCTCTGTTCATTTCTCCACTTACTTTGCCATAGCCTTCATTCAGTCCCTTACCCAATCCAACCTGAACTACTACAGGAGCTTAATAGGAGTCTCCAGGCCTCTCTCATCAACCTCATGCGCCTTCCAATCTCAGTGTCACTACAGTGATTTTCTTCAAAACAAATTTGGTCCCATCAGTCCCATGCTTTGAATCTTCGATCCGTTTCCCTCTCTGAGCCTAGCTGCACAAAAGTCAATGCTATGTGTTGTTTAGCTTAGGTATCTTCAGGGTGTATTAAATAGTACGCACCCCAAAACCACTGGCAGCATGAATGCTTAACATGATTATGTATTCTAAGTACATTTGGTATTATAAAGTTTGGTATAAATTTTGTGATATTTTGTACAATTAAGGAAACACATGGCTTGAACCTACTAGAACAATCTCTGGTTTAAGCTTTTCTTATAGTTATGGAGCAAACATTTGGCCTGGCAGTCACACCATTCTTTGAGATCCATAATCCACACTGAGTGTCCATATTCAGTGCACAGCTCTGGTTCCCAATGTCAGCTTCCTGCTAATGCACACCTTGGGAGACAGCAGTGATGGCTGACGCAGCTGGGCCCCTGACACCCATATGGAAGATCAGGATTGGGTTCCTGGCTTTAGACTTTGGCCTTAGCTACTTGCAGGTATTTGGGGAATGAAACAGTGAACGGCAGCACTCTCTCTCAAAAGAATAAAATTTTTTAAGCTTTTAAAAATTAAAAATACAGTTCCTAGAGTTAATTTTTTCTTTAAATGGCATTATTTACAGTTTCAAACTTAAGAAAAACAGAAGAGAATGTTCTAACTCTTACTACAAGGTGCTGGGAGAAGCCCTCCTAAGGGTCTCTCAGCAGTCCTGCACATGCTGAGTGTGACAGGAATGCAAGACCCTGGCCACGCTCAGCCGCAGCCACGGCCAGGCTGTGTCTGCAGCGAGCAACTTCGAGGGCTGAGATGAAGTCACCCTCTAGGACAAAGAGGAGTCCTGCTGACTGTGGAGCAGTGGACAGGCCCAAGCTCGGTGCTCTCCTCTGCTACCCACCCGTAATACAGCACCAGTCTGCACCTATTCCATCACGCCCACGGGCAAGCAAAGCCGAAGCAAACGTGATGCTTGCTGCACCGAGTAATAAGGTCCTTTGTCTCTGACTGAGGAGTCTCCTGTCTTCTAGCAGCACCCACAAAACAGAAACAGAGTGACACCAAGTCCCAAACCCATCAACTTGCCTCTTAGCAATTTACAGAACTCTGGGAGCAAATACGTCATGTTTAAAATCTTGAATGATACTGCCATTTCTTCATTACCACCATTTTAAACAATCATAGTATATGAAAATCCACATGTCCTACTGAATTAACTTACTGTACATTCCAAGATTTTCTCTAGTTTCTAATGTGTCATTTGCTCATTTGCAAGGTAGAGAGACAGAGAAACAGCTCCTTGTGCTGCTATGCTCCCCAGACGCCGACGATGCCCAGGGGTGGGCCAGGGCCCAGCTGGGACCTGGGGATGCAATTCAGGTCTACCATGTGGGCAGCGGCAGCCATCACCACTGCCGCCGAGAGTCCCCACTGGCACTGGGAATCGAACCCAGGACTGCCAGTGTGGGAGGCAGGCATCGTAACCACTAGGCCCAGCATGCACCCCACGTGAAGTTCATCTTCTTGCCGATGGTCCCCTTCTTACTGCCTCAAGTCCTTTGTCCTCAACCAAAGAAACTTCATGATTCCATTTCTCTCGTTTATGCTACATACTCCTTAAGACGGAAGCATTTCCCTGTGTCCTCTCTCCAAACAGAAAACTCAAACAATTCATAAAGCCTGAGGGTCCCAAAAGGCACCAGAAACAATCAGTGGGGGTGATGTGGCTGTGGCCTCTCCACACTAAAACAAGTAAGCAAACAAGGATTGTTGACATGCAGCCGAAGAAAGCTGGTGCCTCTCCTGCCCCGAGTTCTAGTCCTGGGAGCCACTTGAGAGCTGTGTACCACTTCTGCATGCCTGATTTTTAACCATTTATTTATAAGCTTTCCTTTGTTGATAACAGACCTTCACCCCCTACCTAGACATTAAGCAACTAAGAAAATAGTTTCTTAAAAAGGCAAGAAGACACTGCACTCTCATGTTCACTGAAGTACTATTTACAATAACCAAAAATAGAAACAACCCAAGTGCCCATCAACTGGTACATAGACAAAGTAAACATGGAACATATACACAATGGAATACCATTGAGCCATAAAAAAAAAAAATGAAACCCTGGGGCTGGCATTGAAATGCAGCAGGTTAAGCTACTGCTGGTTCAAGTCCCAGCCACTCCACTTCCAATCCAGCTTCCTGCTAATGTACCCGGGAAGATGGCAGATAGCACAGGTGCTTGGATCTCTGCTACCCACATGGGAGATCTGGCTTCGGCCTGGCCCAGACCTGGCTGTGTGGCTATCTGGTGATTGAACCAGTGGATGGAAGTTCTGTCTGTCTCCCTCCTTCCCTCCCACCCTCCTTTTCTCCCTCGTTCCCTTTATCCTGCCCTCCCTTCTTGTCACTCCGCCTTTCAAACAGATGAATCTTTTTTAAAAAATGAAATTCTGTCATTTCCAACAATATGGATGGAACTAGAGACCCTTATGGTATGTGAAGTAAGCCAAGCACAGAAATATAAGGACCACGTGATCTCACACGGAGACTCTAAAAGAGTCGCTGTCCTAGAAACTGAGAGAACTGGGGAGAATGGGCGGGGACATGGGGAGTAGCTGGCCGATGGATACCAAGTGACGGGGTAAATTTTGGACTCCTGTCGCAGAGCAGGGTTACTGCATCTCATGGTAAGGTACTGCGTGTTTCAGTAAAACCAGGGAAAAAAAGGTTTTAAAGATTTTCACCCCAAAGAAATAACAGATGTTTGAGGAGATCAGTGTGCCGATCTGAACATCACACAACATATACATGCATCTGAACACCACATGGTCCCTGTAACTAGGTACAATTTTATATGTCAATTTGCAAAAGTGAAGTAACGGGTCCCACAGGCAGGGGCGGGGAGAAGACAAGGTCAGCTCAGAGTAGCCGGTTCTCAGCAGGGAAGATGTTTCAGGAACCACATGGGAGGGCAGGGGGAGGAGGAAGACTAGCCAGGGCACCGGGCACTGTGGCCTAAGAAACCGAGGTGCCACACAGCCAGGACTCCAAGAGGTGCTGAGAAACTGACTTGCTGAGAAAACCAAGGGATGACAGGGATAAGAAAGCAGGCAATGGGCCAGCGCCGCGGCTCACTAGGCTAATCCTCCACCTTGCGGCGCCGGCACACCAGGTTCTAGTCCCGGTTGGGGCACCGGATTCTGTCCCGGTTGCCCCTCTTCCAGGCCAGGTCTCTGCTGTGGCCCGGGAGTGCAGTGGAGGATGGCCCAAGTGCTTGGGCCCTGCACCCCATGGGAGACCAGGAGAAGCACCTGGCTCCTGCCTTCGGATCAGCACGGTGCGCCGGCTGCAGCAGTGGCCATTGGAGGGTGAACCAACAGCAAAGGAAGACCTTTCTCTCTGTCTCTCTCACTGTCCACTCTGCCTGTCAAAAAATAAAAAAAAAAAGAAAGAAAGAAAGAAAGAAAGCAGCCAAAGCAGAGGGGCTCATGCCCAGGGTTACCCAGCAACTCCCCATCATCCTGCCGCCCGCAGCAGTGCTCCGGCTGCCCTGGCGGGACAGCGGAGACCCCCTCCCTCACCCACCCCCCAGGCAGAGGCAGGCAGAACGGGCACCTGGTGGGGCCGAATTTCACCAGCTGCGCTGAACCAGCTCTGAACTGAGGTGCCCTACGCTAGTTACATTTATTAACGTAACTATGATAAGAGAATAAATGTCGCATTTCAGAAATGCCCAACAACACCACCTAGGAAAACAGAATACATCAACTAGTCACCGCGCAACGGGACTGCAGCTGAGAAATGCACTCACTAGTACCGCGTCGCAAGGAAGCCTGCAGCTGCCTTAATGCAGGAGGGCAGAAATTCCAATGGAGACGTCTAAAGGCACTACTAACTAATATGTTGCTACAAACCCCTTACATCAATCTCCCACTTTAAATATAACTGGTATCTCATTTACAATAAATGCATGGGGTTTGGTCCAATTCTCCTCCATTCATGCTTTTCACTGAAAATAAGAATATATTTTGGGTAAAAGTATACAACATTACTGTTGCTTATGAATCATTCCTGCTGTACACTAGGATCCAGAGGCCGTCGCCACAGGTTCTAGAACAGTCTAATCATCACATGCCTCTACAGTGAACACTGGCCATGGTGGGCTTTCCTCTGTGGTCATCTGGTTCCCCTCCCTCCAGCTAATGCCAGTCCCAGAGAACGACAGGACAGGTGATTGTCCCCACACAGCCCAAGCTGCCACTTCTCCAAAGGGCGGTCCAGCATGGACTGCTCACTACCAGAGCTCAGTGTGCACGGCAGGAAGGCACCGTGCAGGGGAAACACCAGCGCCCGAGGTCCTCCTACCCATCAAGACTCTGAGCTTGGAGTGAGACATGGCCAGAACACGAGGAACACGGAGTGGGCACTCCGCCTACTGTGAAGGCACCTGCATCCCACACGCACGGACCTGGGTTCAATGCCTGGCTTGGGCTCCTATTTCCAGTTTCCTGCCAATGCAGAACCTGGAAGGCAGCAGCGACAGACTAAGTACCTGGGTTCCTGCCACACGCGTGAGAAACCTAGGTTGAGTTCCTGACTCCTGACATGGGTGTCTGGAGAGTGGACCAGTGGATGCTCCCCACCTCCAGCCCCAAGAAAGCTTCTAAAATAATAAAGCAAAATCTAGCTAAGATTTGTTTTCACTGTCAATGACGACAGACACAAGACAACTAACTGCCTTTGAGGCAATTTCAAGAGACAGGAGCACATCACGCCTGGCCATGCGGGGTCACGCAGGAAAGCACCAGGGCTGGGCGAAGGCAGAAGGGGGCCAGCTGGGCACGGGCCTGCAGGAGAGGCATGGAAGGGCAGGGCCAGCCGCTCAGGACGGGTGAGTCTGAGTCGTTCCAGCATGATCTGGGAGGGAGGACCGCACTGCCTGGCCTGGAACCTGGCCTTGGGGTAAACCAGGGCAGGAGGGCAGTGACTCAGGGCGGCGGTGGGTACAGGGGCCCTGGCCTGGCTGCTCTGTATGTGAAAGGTACACCTACAGGGGAGTCCTTCGCTCCCTAGGAATTCGCCAGCCCTGGAGGGCTAGTCTGTCCCTAGCCAGCAAGGCCCCAAAAGTCAAAACATCCTAAAACACAGAAAATTAAAAACATGATTCAGGCAGCACAGGTTGTGCTGCCGGGTTCAGCGGTCGCCCGGATGTCACTTCTGTTTTAAACTCCGGCACCACCGACCGCTCTCAGATGCAGTCTCCCGATGCTGAAAGCCCAGCCCACCCCCACCTGGGCCACCACTGCCACAGGCTGGCAGTGAACGCTCTTTCTGCAAGCACCCCCCCACCCCCCGCATTCTCATTCAAAACCTGTATCACAGCCCATCAGAGTTAGGACAGGGCTTTTCACAGTTCCTGAAGAAGCGGCACGGCTGCTGCCACAAGCGTTCAGGGCACTGCAGCTCCCGGTGCCCGGAGGCCTTTCAGTCTACACCAGCGCCTCTGTCTACATGTCTGCCTAACACGCCAACAAGAGGAACGCCTCGGGATCTCAGACATCACCAGTGCTGCTCTTCTCTCTAACATTTTACTAAATTACAATACACACTCCAAGAAATGCACAGAGGTGTACAGATCAATGAGTGTTTGGCATCTGATCACATTCATGACCACCAACCAAATTAAGAACCAAGTATTATTATCCCTGCTCCACTTCTTTTTTGAAGTGTGAACTAAGAGTGTATTGTCGGGCCGGAGCCACGGCTCACTAGGCTAATCCTCCGCCTTGCAGCGCCGGCACACCGGGTTCTAGTCCCGGTCAGGGTGCCAGATTCTGTCCCGGTTGCCCCTCTTCCAGGCCAGCTCTCTGCTGTGGCCCGGGAGTGCAGTGGAGGATGGCCCAAGTGCTTGGGCCCTGCACCCCATGGGAGACCAGGAGAAGCACCTGGCTCCTGCCTTCGGATCAGCGTGGTGTGCTGGCCACAGCGTGCCAGCCGTGGCGGCCATTGGAGGGTGAGCCAACGGCAAAAAGAAGACCTTTCTCTCTGCCTCTCTCTCACTGTCCACTCTGTAAAAAAATAAAAAAATAAATAAAAAATTTTAAAAAAAGAGTGTATTGTCATTTACATGGTATGATTCAGCGAAGCAATACTTATAACTACATACACAATGACCTGACATCCAATTTTTATCCTCTCTCTACTACCACAAATAAGAGAAAAGGTGATATTTTTCTTTTAGGGTCTGGTCTGTTTCATCTAGCACAAGAATCTCCAGTCACATCCATCTTGTTGTACACGTCAGGATGGTATTCTTTTTTACGGCTGAGTAACATTCCATTGTGTACACATGAAACATGTATTTCTCATCTTACAGAAGAGAGGCCATGCAACTGATGAGACCAGCATCCAGGCGGCTCCCTCCTCTGCGGCCAAGCTCCTGAGATTTCCTCTCTCCTCCACCAGCCGCGCGCTTTTCCAGTCCACAGCCTGCCTTTTGCCCTCATTCAGTAGTTAGACACAGGAAAAGATCTCTATACTGATTTCTTAACTGCTAAGATTCATTTCACTGCTGAAATGTGATACACGCGTGTCTGATTATTCCACACAGAAGTGAAACAATCTGGTTAAAGCACACACACAAATATAGGGCATCAACAGTCTGGGGCCTTCTTTTTACTATTTTATCATCACAGGCATGCTTGATAGGCAATCATCACAAAGCAAAGTATTAGTAGTTTACTGGTTTAAAAATAAAATTGGACAGGAGCAAAGCAGTCACAGGGCGGTCTCATTCCACATTCTCTAGCACGGTTACCAATCATCCAGGTTCACGGCCCCACTGTGCCATTTTCAGGGATTTCATAAAACAATCAGAAGAGTAGGAACCCTAAAATCTGTCAACTGCCAGTCAAGTCTGAACAGATCCCACGAGCACTGGGAAGCGCACTACTCATGGGGGGTTGGTTACAGTGTGGGGACCTGTCAAGCCAAGCCCCAGGCTTCCGAGTGAATCAACTCAATACTTCTAGGTCAGGCTGAAGAATCACAGGGCCTAAAAACACTTCCCATGTCTTTCTTAACTTCCAGAGAGCTCTTCCAAGTCAGACAACTACTGACAGTATGGTATCAGGACGGTCATTTTCTCACACTCCAGTTTTCTTCTACTGGTAGTCCCCAGAAAACAGAGTGATTTTATTCTATTTTCAGCTTGTAAGCACACACAATCACATGTGAACCGGAAATAGGGTAAAAGTGTGATTCTGAAAATTGAGCAAATGGGTAACTGATAGCGTGGGGTTTTCTACCCAAAGTGCTGATTTCTTTAGTTCAACTGCCCTTTACTGAAAATCCCCAATATCTATTTCCCTGCCACTTTACACATAGCATCGAGGACACACGTGGAGGTCTTTGTGGTTACCCAGGGGTCGTCATTATTTATGGGCATCCGACACTGAGTGGCATCTCGGCGATGCCTGCTCTGTGAACTGTTAGCAGCCCATACAGACCGCTGCATTAGGCGTGATTTAGGTCACTCGCACAGCACAGCACGAGCGGTGAGAGACGCTGTGGGCAACTGCCTGTGCTTGGTTCTCACCACACTCAGAAGGAAGCAGCAAGGTGTTGATCCACCACGCCCTCATCGCCTCTGCTCTTTCTCTGAGAGGGCCATTTGCTGCTACCTCCACAGTTCCCATCACTTTTCTCTCCTGCTCTCCTCTTTCTTTCTTCTCTGTGGCTGCCAATCGACTCCCTATCAGAACTGAAAAGCTAGCCACTAAGAATACAGCATACAAAGAATTAGGAAAGTATACATTTCTTTCAAAAGTTGACATATACTAAGTTCCAGACACGGGGCCAGCGCTGTGGTGTAGTGGGTAAAGCCGCCACCTGCAGTGCCAACATCCTATATGGGCACTGGTTCCAGTTCCGGCTGCTCCACTTCTGATCCAGCTCTCTGCTATGGCCTAGGAAAGCGGTAGAAGGTGGCCCAAGTCCTTGGACCCCTGCACCCATGTGGAAGACCCAGAAGAGGCTCCTGGCTCCTGGCTTCAGATTGGCGCAGCTCCGGCCATATGGCCAACTGGGGAGTGAACCAGCGGATGGAAGGCCTCTCTCTCTCTCTCTCTCTCTCTCTCTCTCTCTGCCTCTCCTTCTCTCTGTGTAACTTGATTTTCAAATAAATAAATTTAAAAAAAGAAGTTCCAGACACATTTTAATAAATTCCAAATAAATTTTAGAATAAGTAGACTGAGGTATGCAAAAAGCAATCCTGAAACTTTTTCACTGTATTCAGTTTTTGCAATACTTCTGGGAGAACTGACATCTTTATAACATTAAGTCATCCCATGGTATTCATCTCCTATTACTTACGTCTTCTTTTATGTCCTCTAATAGAGTTTTTAATTCCTCTCTAATGGTCTCGTGCATTCCTTTCAGGTTCGTTATTTGACTGTGATTCTTGCTACTGTGAATGTTGCTAAGTCAATTTTTAAAAAGAGGGATGACTGGCCTACCAAACTGTTGGACACAGTGCAAAGCCACTGCCACAAAAGCACTGTGATACGAGACACTATGCGAGAGAACTCACACGGTGAGAGTGTACCCCAAAACATGAGCAAAGGTGCAAACTGGAAGAGACAGAAAATCTAACACTGTACCTCACACCAAATGCAAATTCCTGAGGGACAATGGGCCCAAACAGAAAATAGATGATTGTAAAACATACAGAAAAGTAGAATGCAGGGAAATTTGTGGTATCAGGTCGGGAAAGGGCTGCTTCGGCCCACAAAAACACGAATCGCAGTGTGTTGACCCATCTGCTGTGATGTCATGACTGCACCACTCAGAAATCTACGCTTCCTATCTGAAGGAAGATCCTACAGGAAACAATGAGCAGGTGATCTTCCAGTGTCTACAGAGAGCGGGGATTCAAGTCCGGAACGTCCAGAAACACCTGCTGAGCAGGGAGAGCCGAGGAAGGATGGGAACAGTCACCTCCTGCCAATTCCATCAACGATGTTTACCGAGGCCCCCACTTACTATTTCATACGATTTATTGGACGGACAGAAACAAATAGAGGGAAAGCTCCCACCCAGTGGCTCATTCCTCAAATGCCCACAATAGCTAAGGGGCCAAAGCCAGCAGCTGGAACTCTAAGAACCAACCAGGTCTCCCACATGGATGGCAGGAACCCAACTACCTGAGCCATCGCCACTGCCTTCCAAGGCTTGGACCAGCAGGAATCTAGACTCAGGAGCCAAACGGGCATCCCAAATGGCATATCAACCGCCAGGCCAAACACCTGCCTTGAGTACTTACTTTTTTTTTAAGCGCTAGAGATACCAGCATAAACAACACAGAGAAGGTCCCTGACTTCACAGAACTTGAGCAGGCAAAATAAGCAAACATGCAATATAAATAATTACTGTGTTTTCTGTGATACATCACATGAAACAAGCAAGCCATGGAGTACTGTCAGTGGATGGACATGATCCACAGGCAGACAGCTGAACGGAGGGAATCAATGAAAGGGTTTTCCCGGCAGAAAAAAAATCAGGGACAGCAGGAGGCTTTAAGGATAATAGATAACAAATGTCTAAGACAGAAGCGCCCAGACTGGCCAAACTACGATGGGAGACAACACCAAGTGCTGCTGGACACGGGGCAGAATGGGCACTCTCCTCACTGCTCGTCAGTGTAAAGTGGTACAGGTCCAACAGTCCCTAAGCCAAAGCCCAGGATCCACAATGCTCCAGAAGCTGAAACTCTGTGAACACAGATGTGATGCCGCAAGTGGAAACTCCCACACCTGACACCGTGTAGGCAAACACGCAGCTGCACTAAAAACACTGCATAAAATTACCTTCAGGCTATGTATGTGAGGAGTCTGGGAGATAGACATGGATGCCAGGCTCAGGCTTGGGTCCTGTCTCCAAGATATCCCATTATGTGTGTGAAGATGCTTCAAAACCCGTAACAGCACGAAGGACTTCTGGCCCCCAGCATTTCGGGGGAAGGGACGCTCGATCCAGACAGACATTCTGGAAATAAAGCTGGCAGTACTCAGTGAGGTCAAGTATGTGCATACCTCATTATCCGGGGATCCCACTTTGGAAAGCCAAATTCTCCCAAAAGGCCTTAGGAGGACGTGAATGAAAATCAAAATCAATCCGGGTTATTTGTGGCTGCAGGAAGGGATATGAACGGAAATATCCACAGTAGCTACCAGGTGTAAAACGGGCACAGAGCTCAAAACGGACGGGTAGGGTTGGTGGGCAGGGGGTGGGGGTAGGGGTAGGGTGCACTGAAACAGTGGGAAGGGGAATTCTCCAATTTGCTTCAAAATAAGACGGTCTGTATAGGCGGAGTTGTGGAGACAGGTTACTGGGGAAAGCATGGTTAAAAAGAACCAAGACTGGCTATGGGTGGGTAACTGACACTAGATGACACACATGGGGCTTGCTAAACTATTCTTTCCATAGTTGTATGTGTTTGAAGTTTGCTATCACAAAATGCCATTTTTAACGTGCTAAATGAAAAGAGAAACGGACGAACTTTAGCACAATGCCATTCCCACAGATCAACACGTGAGTGCATCAAACACCACTGCTAGGAACTGGGACCTCCTAAAATATCATCCTCTTTCACAATGCCACTGTGCTTCATGACGACAGGAAAAATTAAATTCTGTGTGGCTTACGCACCCTCCGGTCTTCCTCACCCCTTTTTAAACGGACATCCAACTTTTCTCCAACGCAACCCCCAGCACACACACACCACTTGAACGTGTGCTTTCCAAATGCAGCGCGCTTGTTTCTGCTCTGTCCTTATGTGTACCTCCAATGCCAACAAAGTCCAGCGTCCAGACGCTTGAGAAGCATTGCCCCAACGAGCTGAAGTCGCACAGCTACTTCCAAAAGTTCCCGTGCCTTCCCTACACACCTCTTCCTTCTTAATTTCTGTTGCACTTACTCTCTGTGCCATTCAATTAGCACCTCATTACAGCAACACCTCGTTCATCCAGCGCCTCTGGGAAAGCAAGAATTCATCAGAAGGGAACTTTCAAGACAACTTCGGCATTCACTCAGGAGGCGGCAAAGCGGAGTGAACGAGTGCTGAGCTGAGTCACTGACAGACTGGCCCTCAACTCCCCCTGACTCGCCCAGGGTCTCTGGACATCGCCGATACGGTGAAGACGCACTACTAACCCCACCAAGCTGTGCTGGGCATGAGGCATCCCACAAAGATCCGGCACAAGACTCTTTTAAATTACCGCTATAGGCCGGTGCCATGGCTCACTAGGCTAATCCTCCGCCTGCGGCACCGGCACCCGGGGTTCTAGTCCCGGTCGGGGCGCCGGATTCTGTCCAGCTCTCTGCTATGGCCCGGGAAGGCATTGGAGGATGGCCCAACTCCTTGGGCCCTGCACCCATGTGGGAGACCAGGAGAAGCACCTGGCTCCTGGCTTCGGATCAGCGCAGTGCGCCGGCCGCAGCGGCCATTGGAGTGTGAACCAACGGCAAAAAGGAAGACTTTTCTCTCTGTCTCTCTCTCACTGTCCACTCTGTCAAAAAAAAAAAAAAATTACCACTGTAATTATTCCAAAAATTGTTATGCATGCAAACATTAAAGTCATTTTTAAAGTCTTTTTTAGTTATTTGAAAGGCAGATTTACAGAGGGAGAGCAAGATATCTTGCATCCACTGATTCATACCCCAAATGGCCACAATGAAAGCCAGGAGCCACGATCTTGTCCCAGGTCTCCCACATGGGTGCAGGGGCCTGAGCACCTGAGCCACTTTCCACTGCTTTCCCAGGTGCATTCGCAGGGAGCTGGGTCAGAAGCCAGACAGCCAGGATTTGAACCAGCACTCACATGGGACGCTGGCATCACAAGCTGCAGCTTAACCTGCTATGCCACAATGCCAGCCTCACTACAATCAATTTCTGTGTAAATCCCCATCTATATACTTTAAGATTTCCCTCAGAGGTCGGTGAATATACAGAAAGCATCTCTCGATAACTCACAATTCGTTCGACATTTACTCATCCAAAAAACGCTGGTGTAGGGCCAATTTTGTGCAGAGACCAAGGATTCCACAGCGAGGGAGATAAACACGGCCCCACCCACACGGAGATCAGAGGCTAGAGTCATCACGTAACTCCACTCCGCGTTCCAGGGTGTGTGCGAAGCCAGCGAGGCGCTGGCTGGCGACAAGGGAGCACCTGTTGCATGAAGGACGTGCAGAGAAGGCCTCTAAGACGACCGAAATGCTGGCGCGAGGGCTGGAGAAGGGACGCAGGCAGCGTCAGCCAGAACTCAAGTGGGCCATGGAGGGTCTCAAGTAAGAGGGAAAGACCAGGAGGTGCTTTTGGAGAACCGGGCAAAGGCCAAGTCATTGGGATGCTGCAGCCCTCCGTAAGGAGCTGGTGTTTCTTACAGACAGACTCGAAAGGGACATGACAAGACAATGTACTTGCAGTGAGTATCTCAGAAACAGACTATTTTTCTCATTCTTTCGTGGAGTTACCATTGAGGACCCAGAGCTTCCATCCCAAAGTGAAAAGACCAACAGCATACAATGCAGTAGTTTTCTAAGTTTTACTCAAGTTTTTTAAAGAAGAAAAGTATTTTTCATACCCCATTATCTAAAAACATGAAGGATGAAGCCACTCCAAGATGGCGTCTGTGGCCCTCAAGTCCTGTGTCCCCTCTTTATGAAGGCTCCTTCAAGAACAGTTTGAAACATGGGGGCAGAGACCAGAAGGGTCTAGGAGTCAAAAGATCCTAGCCCTACCCCTGACTCTGACTCCACAGCCAGGTGACCCAGTGCAAGCCACTTAATGCCCAGAGTCTCAACTCCCTCTTGACAAAAAATGGACACGAACACCTGACGTGCTCATCACACAGACTAGCAGTGTGGACCAGCAGCGATGACAGGGCTGGGGGTGTCACCAACTAAATTATAAACCAGAAACTATATCCTTTATCGCTTTCATGCTGAGTAGATGTGGGTTGCTTGGCTGATATCCTAAACATTGAAATGTTAAGTCCTCAAGTATGAATTAATTTTTACAAATGCCCAAGCCAATTTATAAACCTATAAGAATGACATGACAAAACATCAACACATTTCATTAAATCCCTCCTGCAACTGAGGTCTTGTTTAACACTACAGCCAACTGCAAAAAAGGAAGGAAAACTACTAGTGTTTGATGGAAAATAATTTCTATCTTTCAATTACTTATTTTCAAAAACCAATGACTACTGCATTTTTCAAAATAACAAGAGTAAATTTTAAATGTCTCACCACAAAAAATGATAGCTCACATAAAGGATGTTAATCAGCCATGATCTAATTATATCAGGGAAGAAGGTGAATGAGTCAAAGAAGTAAATAATACTTATATTTCTTGATATTTTCAAAGTTTAAAATTAACTCATTTTTTATAAAATCAGGTTGCATGAGTCTCTTCAAATAGACTGGATTTTGGGAACAAAAGAAAGGAGTGGGGGAAGGAGGGAAAGATAGAGGGAAAAAAAGAGAGAAGAAGGAATTCCCAAGCAGTTAAACAATATAAAATAGAGTATTTCCTACACAGTTAAAAAGATGGACTAGGGAGCAGGTATTCGGTGTAGCATCCACATCCCCCATCAGCGTACCTGGGTTCAAGTCTGCTCCACTCCCAATTCCATGTTGCTGCTGATTGTGCACCCTGGAGAGCAGCTGTGATGGCTTACGTACTTTTTGGCCCCTGCCAGCCACATGGGAGACTTGGAATGAGTTCCTGGCTCCTGGATATGGCCTGGCCCGACTCTGTTGTTGTGGGAATTTGGGGAGTGAACCAGCAGATGAGAGATGGACAGATGAATGGATGGATCTCTTCCCACCCCCCAGCCTCCCTACCTTCATCTTTCAAATAAATAAATAAGTAACAGGGACTGGATACACATACAGCAAGTGGACAAACACAGTTTCCTATTGGAGTAGGCTTGTAGAAACTGAAATGGAAGTAGGCAAGAATTATCTGCTATGCATATATGACTTCATACTTACAGAGAGAACTGAGATCCAAATAGCTACAGAGATAGGTCAAAATAAATAGACTAACCTCGTAATTTAAAATATCCAATTCTGAAGGACTGACCCAATATTAATGTCTTTTTAATTTAAATGACAAAACAAAGAGTAACAATTTTAGAAAATTCAGGTGCTCAAAAGTAAATTTTTTTTTTTTTTTTTGGACAGGCAGAGTAGACAGTGAGAGAGAGAGACAGAGAGAAAAGTCTTCCTTTTGCCGTTGGTTCACCCTCCAATGGCCGCCGCGGCCAGCACGCTGTGGCCGGTGCATCACACTGATCTGAAGGCAGGAGCCAGGTGCTTCTCCTGGTCTCCCATGCAGGTGCAGGGCCCAAGAACTTGGGCCATCCTCCACTGCACTCCCAGGCCACAGCAGAGAGCTGGCCTGGAAGAGGGGCAACCAGGAAAGAATCTGGCGCCCTGACCGGGACTAGAACCCGGTGTGTGGTACCACTAGGTGGAGGATTAGCCTGTTGAGCCGCGGCGCTGTCCAGTAAATCTTGACAGATACTTAAGACAGAGAAAAAAGATCGGATTCCACCAGTGGTCATTTGTTTTTTAATTAACTGAGATGACAGATGTCTATCCTGTTTCTTAAAAAGGCATCACAAATATCTTGGCAAACCAAACTGCATAATTCTTGCATATACACACTTTCTACTCTACTTTAAAAGCAAATGCTTCATTTTAACCACTGGAAAACCATTATGCCTAATTGTATCTTTAAAAAAAAATTTTACATAGTTGAAAATACATTGGTAACTCTGAATATCTGTAGGCTTCCATTTTATCTCAACACAAAGAGTGGGCGTCTCACTCACAGGGACACACCAAACGCCCTCTCTGGTGCAGGAACTCTAACTCATGTCTTTCTTCATGGGGGCCCATCACTGACTGCATTTTAAGAAGAAATACATCTCCTGATAGAAAGGAGAGAAAACTAGGCTTTTAAACAGCTTAGACTATACCTCAGGAGGAACTTGACTTCCTCTGACTGTGAAATGCAGGCCTAGTAGATGAGCGATGAGCCAGATCCTAAACACTTCACCTCCTGGACGTGAGCCAGTAGACTCATCTGATAATACACACAAAGAAAATCACACCGTGCACAAGTAACACAGAACTTACCACCTGAACCGTTTCTGTGTGGTCACACAGTTGTGAACCCGATTTCCAGAACTTTTTCACCTTTCAACCCTGAAACTCTACTCCCACTAAAACAACAAATGTTCAGTGCAAACAACGGGCTCAAACACGGATTCTTCAAACACTGAAATGTGTGGCTCCAACTTGCTAACTGCTTTTGCCTCGGAATCCTCGGCTACAGAACAGAGTGCGACACCCCCGCCACCAGAGTGGTCAGATGCAGAGTGACGTCCTGGGGCCAGGCGATGACATTAACAGTGCTGAGAGATCAGATGTAAACCCGTTGTGTTTTGTAGATGGCCACAGACTTAAGGCAGGACGACGAACGGGTTCATGAAGTAGAATTGCCGCCTTCAGAAAGCAATCACAAAACAGACCATGTGACTGCCAAGCCAAATGAATTTTTGGCAATATCCTATGGAAAAGTATCTCTGCTTAGGCCAAGTAAGAGGAAAGATTTCCTGGCTGCCTGAATAAGCTTCAGGCAAAAATGCTTATCCACTTCCAGTGTGCCTGTAACCATTCCAGTAAAGAATCTTAAAAAACCGAAAGTCAATTGCCTTATTCAAATACAGTTTGATTAACATGGCTTCTTCAATTCCCAGGTTTCAATACGTCTGTAGACAAGATCATCGTCCAGTCAGAAGACACCCTTTTCCTTTCTCTTATGGACAATGAACCATTTATCTGTCGATTTGTTAAGAGGGATAACACCCAAAATTGTGCTCCCTTTCCTTCTAATGGGTTGTGCATAACTTGGGAAGATGAAAAAACTCTAAATGGAATTGTATTATAATAGTAACCCAAATTTATCCTCATTCCAATGATCGTATCAGGACAGCAAACACTTTTGCTGGTTCAACACGGCAGTGCACTGAGGCACTGAACTTCAAGATCTTAAAACTGGCCTCCAAGACGGTCTTTTTTTGATGTCAAGGTTTCCTCTAATACCATCCACCTATGTGAACAAGCAAGTCTTCACAGAAATCCTTAACACACTATACGAAAGGCAGCAAATATACTCATTTAGAATACTAAATAAATTTATTTCAGAAATTAAAATACACAAAAATTAATGGCATATTATGTTAAACCATCTGGTTCTTCAAGTTTTTAATGTCTTTTTTCTCAGTTTCTAAATATGAAAACTCTAGTTCCCCCTTTTTAAAATAACGTGATAACACATGATCCATAATATGGATAAATACGTCAATATAAACACATGAAAAATTCGTGGTCTTTATGAAACAGAGCAATCATGACTTACAGCCTGGAAACCAACACGTGTGGTAAACAGAAACACCAGTGCACTGTGTGGATTTACCCTTAGCATCCTACAATTAATGTTGTTGATGTTTTAAATAAACTGTTCTTGCTTTCACAGGTTCAACTTTGCAACAAAAGTCTAAGATTAAATGGAACCTCCCAAACTTAATATTTTTAAACTAAGCTCTAAATCATCATCTACCAGAAGAAATAACAATTTGCTTGTTTTTTCCTGTTCTGTTGCTTTTTATAAGAACTTCCCTTTTTACAGATACAATAAATTACATATGCAAATAAATAAGAGCAAATCAAGCTCCTGAGGGCTGCTTTTGTGCTGGGTACAATGCTTTGCAGGCCTGTTTGCCCTGAGTGCTTGATCTGGAAGACACTCTGACTACAGGTGAAAATAGTTCTAGTTCGGTGCAGATGCACTGATAACTAAAATAGAAAATCCTACGCTCTTCGTAGTAAACATTAAAAAACAAAACAAAACAAAACAAAACGACACCTGTCCTGTGCTCAGCTATTTTGGAAATGAGCCCTGGGGAAGTGGTGCCTTGTCAGTTTAGACAATTAGAAAACAGCACCCTCAAGGAGCATTCAATCGCCACCTTGAAAAAAAGTCGAATAATTTTCTCATTATTGGTAGGAGAGGTCTTAGAAAGTATTTCAGAGTTATTAGACCTTCCAACTCAAGTAATTTTAAAAGATCGAAATGTCTACACTATTTTAATAGACATGTTAAGTATTGAAGACTTCTTTGTTGGGCAAAATCGATATGCCCAGAATTCCCCAGGAACAGGAAAAGGTCCCATTAAGTTCATTGTAGTGTCAGTCAGCAAGATGAAACCTGTCAGTCATCCCCGGGAAGAAAACGGAAATCCTCAACAGGATCCCACCGAAAACGAAAACACAACCTCGAAGTCAACCATACAAGAGTACCAGCAACGCAGCCATCAGCGTGCAGGGAGGGGAGAGGCAGGCTCCAGCCACTCAAATTACAGCAAGACTCATGTCGCTAGTTGCAGCCGACTCAGCGTGGGCTCCCACGGAGACATCAACAGCCGCACGGCAGAAACTCACCGACTGTGCACTCAAACTTCTCACTAACAGGCTCCACGTGTCACATGATACGAACCAACCAGATTCTTTAAAATCAAACAGGCCCAAGAACTGTTCTAGATTCAACAACTCTGCTGACGGACCATGTTTTATAAAATCTAAGAAATCTGTAAGCCTATATAGTTCACTGATTTTTTTTCCCATACAATTCACCTTAATCTGACCAAATGCCACAATTAGACTTCTTTCTCATACAGTGCCTGGAGCCACGTAATTTAGGAAACTCAAAGCTCTCCACCAGCCTCCGACACAGTGGCTATTTTTGTCGGAACAGGGCCCTGCATACTGAGTAGCATTTATTCCAACTGGTTAAATGTCCTCGTACCTACAAAGACCAAAGCCAAACGGTTCTCCACCCTGCCAGAGGGAGTCAGCCTTGCAATTATCTAAAAAAAATCAAATGTCAGAAAAATGAATGTGTATAACAAGTACTCATTCCCTTAAACGGGCATATTTTTTTTTTTTTTTTGGATGACATTTTCTGATTAGAATCAAGAGTTCAGACCCTTTTATTTGGGCTAAGGTGCTTAAGTTAATCAGCAGATACAGGAAAGTAACACCATCCTGGACCTGTTTCTTCACTTTTTATAATTATTAAACATATAGATGGAAAGGCCTTCATTTAACTTGTTGTATTACTTCCATATTAATAGTATCTAAGAAAAATATGGTAAGGAAAATAGAGAACATAGAGAATCTCCAAACAGTCTTGAATGCTTCACAGGACTGACAAACTAAGACACTTTTCCACTTGGTTTTAGCTTGCAGTCTGCCCCTCTCAGGTCCGCTCTGCATGGCAGACAGCCACTGTGCCACCAACACCACTGTGACACACCTCACAGCTCCTAGCCTTGCCAAGAGGAGCAGGAGAGAGGAGACGAGCGTCCGTGACACAAACAAATCCCAGTCCCCAGCACACAGATGACCCAGCAAAGGAGAATCGACTTAGCGAGCCCTATAAGTAGATTTCTGTATGTTTAAGGAGTGTTTACCAGGAAAACACGTGAGGGTAGTGTGCTATACTCCTAAGCCAGGACCGCCACTGCCTCTCCAACCAATAACCTATCAGGATCATCACACTTACTGGAACACTGCTGAAATAAATGCCACTTTATCCAAGATCCCAAGAGGAAAACGAAATTAACCTGCATGTGCTCCTTACTGTTGACTGTGGAAGAATACCAGCGTAAGTAATTAGTGATCAAAAGGATATGGTTAAGAATTTTGCTTAGGACAGCAATGGTTGTAAATTTCAGCTAATTCATCTCATGCTGGATGTTGCAAACTATATCAAATACATATTGATAAAACTTAATTTACTGTATACTTTATAACTACATGACAGAATATAAACTGGTGGCCCTAATCCTGTCGGTGGCATTTCAAAGCTCTAATAAAACAGTCTTGAGGTTTATGAAAAAGACAAGTATGTTATTAATGATATATCACATAGGACATTTTCCAACTTCCACCTTAAATTTCAAAATTTTATATGCTTTTAAATTAAATCATTCTTAACAATGAATCCATGTTCCATAAATGCTCATTCAAAACACATTTTATAAATTTTTCTATTGACAGAGCAGAATATTATAAATTTTACCATAAAATTTTAGATAAAAACAAAGTGTCAGTAATAAACCGCACTGCCTATCATTTACATATGTGTGTTGTTTTCCCTGCTGCAAATGATGAAGGGATTTACTATCCCATCTGTGCTTTACTGCGTCTGGGTAAAGCAGAATTGGCATTTTTTTCCCACCTCAGACGACTTGTTTCCTGTTTGCGGCCTGGTACAAAGTCAACTCTGATCCAGCCCTGTCCCCACTTTACTACCTCAGAGTGCAGTCCCTGACCCCAGCACAAATTCACAGCCCTAAGCCTGATTTTCAAGAACAAGCCTCGCTGGGCCCCGCAACCTCTGCCACCCTCCAGGGCGCTGCACCTGCCACATGCACACTGCCTCCCCCAACCTCAAGGTGCTCCCCAAATCAAGTGCCCCGGACACCCACTCCTCCCAAAGGGCTCCCCTTGCCCACAGCCTTACATGGTACCTGGCACAAAGCAGGCCTTGCAACAAGCATTCGTTTTTGTTTTTAAAGATTTATTTATTCATTTGAAAGTCAGAGTTTGAGAAAGGGAGAGATAGAGACAGTGAGAGAGGTCTTCCATCCACTGATTCACTCCCCAGATGGCCACAAAGGCCAGGGACAGGCCAGGCCAAAGCCAGGAGCCAGGAGCTTCAGCCATTAGCAGAGAGCTGGATCTGAAGTGGAGTGGCCGGGATAGCAATCAGCACCCATACAGGATGCCAATGTCACAAGTGGTGGCTCTACCAGCAACACCACAACGCTGAGCCCCCGGAACAAGTGTTTGATGACTGAATAAATGCTGGGTCAATTTCACCACGCTTTCTTAACTTGTTTTTGAGGGAGGTGTTTATCAAGAACTTCAGAAATGACTCACAAAAGCTGCCTTTTGTTGCCCTACCCCATTCTAAGAAGGTGCTTTCTGGTTAAATGGCTTTGATGACTTTCTTTTTAAATACTACGAAAAATTTCATGTATGGATATAGAATACGGTGATTTTTATTTTCCTCTTTTATTTGTGTCTTTAAATTTTCTACACTGAGTAACAAAGCACTGTAAAGAACACTTGTAAACTAATCAATAAATTCAACTCATGCTCTTGTCAAGAGGGCTTCCACCGACCTGAGAAGCAGAAAGCCCATTCCACAGGCAAAGCAGAGTCTGCCAGCCAGGGGAGATTCCAACACTGATTCTGCACCACACTTTTGCTTCAAGGGTTAACAGCCTACTGACTGGTAGCCACCACAAGTTAACAGTAACTTGGTTTTCTTAACTGTGGTGTAGCAAGTCAAGCCGCCGACTAGAGTGCCGGAATCCTACATAGGTACCAGTTCAAGTCCCAGGTGCTCCACTTCCAATACAGCTCCCTGCTAATGCACCTGGGAAAGCAGCATTGCATAACCCAAGTGCTTGGCCCCTGCACCCACATGGGAGACCCGGAAGAAGCTCCTGACTTCAGAGGGGGCCAGCTCCAGCCATTGTGGCCATCTGGGGAGTGAACCAGTGGACGGAAGACCTTTCTCTCTGTCTCTTCCCCTGACCCTAACTGTTCCTTTCAAATAAATAAATAAGTCTTAAAAAAAAATTGTACCCTAGTCATTGCCCAGGCATCACCTGAAAATCACCACTTTAAACTTTTAATCTCCTATGATCCAAAAAAAGCTCTTTCCAATCAGCTGACGAGGAGCCCAGAAGTTAAGACACACACAGCCCACGGTGGAGTGCCTAGGTTCCAATCCCAGCTCTGGCTCCTGACACCTGCTTCCCGCCAGTGCAGACCTTGGGAGGCAGCAGTGATGGTTCACATATCGGGGTCCCTGTCAGTCACAAGTGGGAGACCTGCACTGTGTTCCCAGCTCCTGGCTTCAGGCCCAGCCCAGCCCTGACCATTGCAGGCATTTGGGGCGCGAACCAGGGGATAGGATCTCACCTCTATCTCCGTGTTTTTCTGTCTCTTTCTACCTCTCAAATAATTTGAGGAAAAAATGGTGACAGAAGTTAGCAACGTAACCCATCCTAAATATTACTCTAACAATTTCGCATGCAGTCACTGTGAATGTGCTGACTAAAGCTGAACTCACTTCACCTTCCGACTCCTTTCCTTGTGCACCTCACAGTGCTGCCTTGCTTTAAAGACACTAACAGAGAGCAGTGGTCGGAACTTACCCACAACCTGATAAACCAGCAAGTGTCTCCCCACTAGCAGCCACACACAAACCCCCCAAGGAAAGCCGAGGCCATCCTCTCCGAGGCGTCGTCCCACCTCATCTCCGCACTTCCTCTCCGAGGGAGCACCTGCTCATCCCAACCTTAGACCTGCTGCTCCAGCCATGACCCACGGTCCTGGGTGCACTCCTCTGAACCCACTCTCCCCGAGGCCACCGACGGCCTCTCTGGGTACCAGTCTGATTCCACCCTGTCTGGCACAGTAACTCCCACCTCCATCCTCAACAAGGCTCTCCTGAGCCCTGGAAGCCCACCTCTCCATGCTCCCTCGGACCCCTCGGCCTCAACCTGCAGCTCCGATCCCACCTCTCCCTTGGTCCCCCCCTCCACGTCCCCAGGCTCTGGCTCTGGTCTCGGCACCCTCCCCCTGCCACCTCACAGCTTCAAAGCATACACAGGGCTGCTTCAAAGGGGTCCCCAAATACTAGAGGTAAAAATTTGGTTCCACACACACAAAAAAAATTATCAGTTTTTTTCCACATGCATCTTCCATGAACTTTTCGAAGACCCCCTCCTCCCTGCACACACAGATTTCAAAAATTTTCTCGACCAAAATAAACTTCTCATTCCTTTCTCTGCAAACTTTTTAAAGTACCCTCAAGCAAAAGCAAAGAAAAATGGGCCAAATCAAAGGGGAAGGCAGGTAGAACTGACCTAAGCCATTAAAAGGCAGGCAGGGGCAGCAGCAGAGGTGCAGTGCCTGGGGTAGCATTAACGTCAGCTTCCCAGACACGGCTGCTTGGCTGCCAAGGCTGCTCAGCCTGTGACAACGCACCAAGCTGATGCTGGGGATATGTGCACTTTTACCTATGAATATCATGTTCCATGAAGTGGTTTAAAAAAAAAAAGATTTATTTCAAATGCAGAGTTACAAAGAGAGAGACAGAGAGATCTTCCATCCACTGGTTCACTCGCCAAACAGCCAACAGCTGGGGCAAGACCAGGCTGCAACCAGGAGCCTAGAACTCCACCTAGGTCTCCCACATGGGTGCAGGGGCCCAAGGACTTGGGCTATGTTTCACTGCTTTCCCAGGCCATCAACAGGGAGCTAGATCAGTAGTGGGGCAGCTCAGACTTGAACCGGCACCCATATGGGATGCTGCCATTGCAGGCCGTGGCTTAACCTGCTGCGCCACAGGGCTGGCCCCCAATAAAATGGTTTGTTTTTTTTTTTTAAAGGATAAAGAATAAGCTAAACCCAAGTTCACATTCCAGATCTGGATATATGACTTGGCCAAACCATATTATTCAAGTTCTCTCACCAGCAAAATCGAAGATGAGAATCCCTACTTCCCCGCAGCACAGAAAGTGAGACGGGACAGACAAGGGATGTGGCATGATGCCGGAAACACATGCCCTTTAAGCTGACAAATGTGACTTCTCTGCCCCCACTCCATCCCAGCGTGGCACCTCCTGCAGAGACGGCCCCCAGCCTCAGGAAGGAGCACATCTCCAGCTCTGACTGGCTTCCTCCTTACCCTGCACAATCTTCCTCCCACGTTCTCCCCAACTCCGAGGCTGAAACTACCACCCCAAGTTCAGCCATCGTAAACATCCAAGTTTTTGACATGGCGGCCACCGGGGGCTGCTGTTGCCCCATGTGGACACAAGGCCGCCAGCCGCCATGGGGTAGAAGCACAGCAGTGACAAGGGTGTCGCTTCCGTCACCACAACAGCTTCCTAAGAGGCCTGCCCCCCTTGACCGACGCTCCAATCACTTCCAGAATGACCCTTCTAAAACTCGCCTCAGGTGACGTAACCCTTCTGCCTAACGGTGCTGCTACTCTGCCAAGTCAGGCTGCCACTCACGGCTGCTCTGGGAGTAGTTCTTGCTCAGCTTGTCACCGACTGCACTGCAGCCCACCACGTGCACGCGGGCTTCTTAAGGTTCCTGGAAAACGCGATTCGAAGATAAAATTAAATGCAAAAAATTGCTGGAAACCACGCACACACATCAGCCCGCCAAAACCACAGGTCTTGGTGTTCACAAGTACTACCAACCACAGATCCAAATACTGGGGGAGAAAAAACTTGCGCCTAGACCGAATAAATCCAGTTTTTTTCTCTCTCTCTCACTGTTTCCTAAACAAAACAGTGTAACAACTAGTTACACAGTGCTCACATGAATCGGGGATCACAAGCAAGCCACCACCATTGACAGTAGACGGCAGGATGTGCACAGCTTCCAGGCGAACACAGGGCACCTCACAGCCTGAGGCGCCCACAAGAACCCTGGGGCCACAGATGCCACTGCAAACCACACCCCTCTGTCTCTACACAGGCCTCCCGCCCCCTAGAACACTGTTTATTCCACTGCCCAGCAACTCAGCTAATGCTTGTCAATAAACGTCCTGCTAGAAACATCTCCTGACAATCGCGTCGTCAGAGGCTGAATGCAAAGCCCTGGTTCACTACTCCCCATCGCACCTGCTGCATCCCAGAATGGCGCTGGTGAACCATGGTGGTGGGCGCTGACCTGGAGACCCTCTGGAGAGTGAGTTCCAGGCAGGCCAACTGTGCAGGGTCACTGAGGGGCTCCACAGTGGCTGATATGGAACAGGGAACATTCTGGACAGCAGCAGAGGAATGGGGAGAGAACGGAAAGCAGGATGAATATGACGGCCATCCCATAAATTCTCAAGAAACACATACAACCATGAAATAGCAAAACAAACTTCAAAACCCGATTTTAAATGCTATTTTGGTAAAACCCATTTTTTTAAAGCATCTCTACTTTCTTAAGCTATTCCACATTAAGAACTAAAAGCCTTGCTTCAGAATTTTTTAAAAAATTGAAAACTGGAGACCGGTGTTCTGGCATAGCAGGTTAAGCCACTGCCCGTGACACCAGCATCCCACATGGGCGGTGGTTCGAGTCCTGGCTGCTCCACTTCCAATCTAACTCCCTGCTAATTTGTCTGGGAAAGCAGCAGAAGAAGGCTCAAGTGCTTGGGCCCTGCACCCATGTGGGAGACCCAGAAGAAGCTCCTGGCTCCTGGCTTCAGCCTGGCCCAGTCCTGGCCATTGCAGCCATCTAGACAGTAAACCAGCAGATGGAAGATCTCTCTGTCTCTCCCTTTCTCTGTGTGACTTTGACTTTCAAAGTAAATAACTGAACATTGTTCCGATGTCCTCGGCCTGCCCCTCTTGGCCTGAAACTGATGGTCCAGTTCCCTTGCCCCGTGGCTCCTGCACGGCTCTGCAGGAGATGGGCACCATCGGAGCAGAGGGAAGAAGGCTGCTCCCTGCTGAGCGTCCAGCCGCTGGTGCAGCTCTCCACAGAACCTGGCAACTGCTCTTTCCCTCCCCCTGCAGACCCAGGGGTGATCCAGTCTCCTGTGCTGCTAACGCTGGAGCCTCCCTCCACCCTGACCCTGCACATAGCTTCCTTAAACTCCTCTCAATTATCCTCGTACCGGGGGCGTCCTGAGGCCACCTGACCAATACAAACACAGAAGCGGTTCTGCAGGCACTTGCTATACGTGTGTTCTGAGTTCCCTCATCCACGAGGCACTCATCCTATAGCAAGGCAGGGACAGACTTCGTGTTTCCGGACACACCTGCCTCTCCCCCAATCTTTCTGGCCCTGAATTCTTAAGTCCACCTCACTCACATGACGACTTGGTTCAATCTCAATTCTAAATCAGAATCAACTAGTGAGTCCCCCCACCCCACCCCACGCCAGATGAACTCCCATGGGAAACTACTCCCAGTGTATGCACACCCTTCGGGAAGGAAATCCCGCTGAAGTACTTCCATCACAGTACTTCTAGAGGAAGGAATACCAGCCTCAGTCTCTTAGTTCAGGCCAAATGCTGAGGCAAACCCCAGAGCAGCCACTGCTAAAGCGCACCGACAGAACACGAGGGTAGCCTGACTCTCCTCCAGTTACAGGTGACAGCCGGCATACGATGCCGTGAAAGCCACCACAGAGAAACGCTTCCATCTTCTCTGACGGTCAGCACGCAGACACAACCAGGGAACAGCCCCAACAGGGTGGTACGACTGCCCTTGGATGGAGGGGAACTCGCCCGACAGCTTCATCCAAAACAAAAATCGACGGGCCACATGCTGGCTGGAAGACAGGAGTAGGGCAGACTCATCGTCACAGGAGAAACGTGTCTGGCTGATGTTACATCTTCCTCTTCTATTTCTTTCTGACTCCAAAGTTTAGGAAAACAGCTTGATCTAAAATTACAGCCTGAGCTCCTACTTGGCCTTTCCCTCCCTGCCAAGGATGTACATTCAAATTGTCACATCTCAGTCACAAGATGAAGAACGGGGAGCTATTTGTGGGGCTTGTTGGGTACCTACAATCTTGTCCACCTCTGAGCAGTTGTAAAATGCCTCTTCTCTCTCCCTAACCTCTCTCTCACTCTCTGTGACCTCCCACCCCAACTAAAAACGGTGGATATGAGAAAACAGCCCAAGCAGGCCCCTCCCACCATGAAAATCCACGCCCCTGCCTCCCACCCCCATAGTCGAACAATTAAGCACACTGAGTCAAAACGGTTAAAATGGGCAGTGGAGGCAGAAACTCAGATTGGAATCCGGATTACGCCATTTACTGAGTGATCTTGGACAAAATATACAACCTGAGACTCAGTTTCTCCATACGTAAAATGGGGATTATACGCACTCTGTGAAGCTGCTGTAGGAATTAAGCAAAAAAAGCAGGCAGAGACACCAAAGCCCACACACTGTAGTATTCCACACAGGCGGGACACCAGGCCAGTCATTCAGGTGCTAGGGTAGGCGTAGTGTCGGGCTGGGACAGGAGAAAAGCCCTGGGGAGGGATGGACTCTCCCAAACAGCATGACCGCACTGACTGCCACTGAACTACCCCCAAAAAGGGGTCAAAGGCTAAGGCCATGGGAATTCTACCACAACAGAAAGGAAGAGACCACTCCATCATGTCAAAGACCTTCCCTCCCTAATTAGAGAGAGGCCTGGAAGGAAAAAACCCTGCGTGTTTCTCTACCCCACCCCAGCTCTCACACTGAAGCTAACTGGCAAAGCAACAGAGAAGAGCGCACCGCCAAACACTACACAAAGCCTGCACAAATGAAAAACCCAGAACTACCCTAAAGCCCACATTGGCCCACTTAAACAAGAAAACCTAAGATTTCCAAAAAAAAAAAAAAAAAAAATCACATTTTACTCCTGACACGATACTTGGGTTAAGGAATTGTTCAGAATTGTGCCTACCACGCCATGTGTATTTTTCATTTAGTCAAAGTATTGACAGAAACCTGTAACCATCATCTGAGCTATAGTTCTCTGTTGAGTCAAATCCGTACTTGAGGTTTCTTATATATGACTCTTGTATCATAAAAAAGGCAGCTGCAGGTCATGAAAAGAACACTGATGCTGGAACCCAAAGAACCTAAATATGGCTCAGTCACACCACACAGCACCTGCATCGCCGGGCCAGGTGAGTCAACCTCCAACTGCAAATCTCCTCATCCATGCAGCTGCTGCCCACCTCACTGAGTTACTGGGAAACGTAGACAGACTGCAAAATGTCATTTCATTTCTGTTACAAAACTCAACACACAAAGGGAGACTGTTTTTTAACAACAGGGCAGGCATTCAGTACAGCAGGTATCACTTGGTATGCCTACATCCCACATCAGAGCGCTTGAGTTTGTGTCCTGGTTCTGTGTCTGGTTCCAGCTTCCTGCTCGTGTGTGCCCTGGGACGTAGCAGGTGATGGCTCCAGTGGTTGCACCCCTGTCACCCACATGGGAGACCCAGACTGAGTCTGGACTTGGGCTCCTGGACTTGGCCTGGCTAAGCCCTGGCTACTGCTGGAATTTGAGGGGTGACTCAGGATAGAAAATCTGTCTCTAAGCCTTTGAAAAAAAAGTACAAATAAATTTAACATGTTTATTTAAAAATATACATGCTACCTAGGTATGTACATAGATAATCTCTTATAGTCCTGAGATCCACAGAAACACTACTAAGTGCCTACATAATAGAAAAATAGTTAGAAATTACACATTAATCCTGGTACCAAATACTAGAAATAGCGGGGAGGAAATGAGCTGATGACGCACGGTTGCAACGTATTCACAACTGGTTACAGCCTTCCTTCATTCACTGCACAAACACACCATCACACTGCGCCAACAAGGCACACACAACTGGTTACAGCCTTCCTTCATTCACCGCACAAACACACCATCACACTGTGCCAACAAGGCACACACAACTGGTTACAGCCTTCCTTCATTCACTGCACAAACACACCATCACACTGCGCCAACAAGGCACACACGGGAAGCACACACCACACCTCGGTCCTTGTCCTCTAGGAGCTTCCAATCTGAGGCACAAAACGCCCCACAATTCGCCAAGGCCTTATGACATGAAAAGCAAAAATGAAGGTCGCTGCGAGCGCACCCGTCCCACTCGGAGCTACTCCGAAGAAATGCTCACGCAGGTGCAGCGCTGTCCTGTGCAGACCAACACATCCACAGCTGGGCCATGTCTATCACTGTCCTCCTTAGCAACAGCCACATCCCCTCCTGCCCCAGGGGAGAGGACCGAGGGAGGTGCAAGACAACCCTAGTTCTAGGAGGTCAAATACGCTGCACCCGCCACCCAGTTCAGCAGTCACAGACAAGCTCAGCGCCTTCATTTCTGCACATGCTTGAGCAATTACACTGATGCTGGGGTCTCCCCAAGGGTGGTTTGGTCCTGCCTGAAACGCACTCGCCCAAGTCTCGCCCCGACTCTTTTCTTTCAGCATGACTCAGGAGTCTGCCTGATGGCGCCTTCCCCATTGCCGGGAGCAACACCGCCCCTCGGTCCTTCTCCACAGCGCTGCATTCTGTCACTGGAACATTCGACACCCCACCTGCACACTGGACACCGTGCGTGTTCTGCGGCTTGGACAGCATTACAGAGAGTCCGCAGTTGCCCAGTGCCCTTGGGAAACTATCCTTAAAGACCTCTCCTTCAGACTGGAAGCACCATGAGCAGGGACCCGTGTTATTCTCCGCTTATCCTCCAGACACATCTTCCTTGCCAAAGACTCCCGGTTCTGCCGGGGCGCCCAGGCACAGGGAGCGGTGGTTCCAGCCCAGGCGATGAACAGTGACTGACTTAAGCCAATGATGGTAATCCCATTACCTTTGTCCGTAAGTGGTTTAGGGAAAGGAATTTTACACTTCTAATGGCATATAAGAAGATATCTCCTATGCAACTTCAAGAAAAGGTTTTCCTCCCTGGCTGATGAGACAGGAAAGAAAAATCCTGTCCTTCCTCTTCCGCGTGAGGAAGCGATGCGGGGAACCCGAGGCAGTCCCGTCCCGTCACTCAGGGCAGAGCGGCAGACCCTGAACCCTGCCATTCCTGATGCACTCAATCAAGCCTGCGGACCACTCTCAGATACTGGTATTTGCTGTGTGCGTGCATATCCTTTGCAAATGTTTGTTTCCAAGGCAAAGTCACAGAGAGAGGGGGAGACAGGGAAACAGAGATCTTCCATGCACTGGTGCACTCCCCAAATGCAGGCAACAGCCAGGAGATGACAGGAACTCCATCCGGGTCTCCCACATGGGTGGCAGGAACCCAAGTACTTGGTACCATCTTCCGCTGTCTTCCCAGCTCCTCAGCGGGGAGCTGGATGAGAAGCAAAGCAGCAGGAACCTGAACTGGCGCTCACCTGGGAACCGGCGCTCATTTGCATAAGGGATAAGGGATACCAGCATCCAAAGTCCCGGCTTAAGCACTGTGCCCAACACAGGCCCCTATGCACGTGCTGTACATGGCATGGATCAAGCCACGTTCTCTACCTCTTGCTTTTGCACGATAAACTGTCAAACTTCCAACATTAAAATAGTAGCTGCAGACTCCAGGATTTTTGAAGGACTAAACCAGATAATGCAAGGAAAGTGCCAAACAGAAACAAAGTACTCAAATGCTAGCACGCTTCACTGTTATTGTTAACTAATAACCTGCTATGACAAAACTCCACGGGTTCTTCATACAGGATTTAGGATTTTGCAATTTTACAGAAAACATTCATTTTAATCCTGCACAAATGAGAATATTTTTAATAGAATAACTCATTTACTACAATTTTGTACATCCATAAAGTAACTTTGGGTTTTTTTTCTTTTCCTCAAACTTGGAGGGGAAAATAAAACGAGACTCAGGAAGTATCAATTCACCAAAGAAAAATAACCATATTATGTTTGGGGGAAGAGTCTGTTTGTGGCATCAACTCTAACTAATGTGGACAGAGACACATGTACATTTTCATCTACTTTCTTGCCTTCACAATTATTTCATCAGTATTTTAATATGACAGATTAAAAACAATTAAAATAAAGCTATATTGATCATTCAAACTATACTCCGTAATGCCCACAATAGAACACCAACAACAAAGTGATTCACTTGCTTGACATTATGCCCTTGAAGCAAAACCAACAGAGACGAGGAGATGGCCACGTCACCCACTGGTCCAGCTGAACTGTGATGGAAAAAGCACTGTGGGCTCATTACTGCTGCAAAGTTGCCTGCAGCCCAGGGCATATGATAATCAAATTTCTTCCAGTAAAACACAATAGCAATTCTGTTGTTGCTAAAGAATTGACACCAACTGAAGTCTGTCTTTTAAAACATGAACAACAAAAAATAACAAATGTAATTCCCACCCTTTTGCTGAGACTACCCAGACTGGCCCGGTCCACTGGTCTTGCAATTATCACAACAAACAGAAATAACCTCGCCTTTCAAAACCCTTGCTAACTTAACTCACCAGGAAAAAGATGACCACTTACCCATTATGACCAACCAGAAATTTAAAGCAACCTGGACAGTCTACTTTTCCCATCTACTTTCCAGCACCCTCACACAAAGAGTAAGGTGCACTGTGCAGGGGAGTTAAGCTCGGCCTATGCTAGCCAACACTAGCCAACACTGCCTGGAACAGGAACAGCTAGTCCTGGTGGACAGCCTCCAGGTCACTTTCTGGAGTATTCGTGGGGTTTTAGTGTAACCATCGGGTTAACTCTCTCAGTACTAGTTAGCTCTCACAGTACTAGCTATGTTCACAAACCCTACAGGAATTGATGTTACACATGTACAACATGCAAATATTCAACGGACATCAAAGTAACAATGCAAGGCAGTTAAGTTTTCCCATGGACTCCAAAATAAATAATAATTGTCTTCAGTTCACGCTTTTAAATCCTACACTCCCAGCAGTAGTTTCATGTGATTTGCACCCAGTAGTTTACTCCCAACGCCACATCTCAACATTCACACAACAGTTGTGATCACCATGGAGGAAAGAAGATTCTACATTCGAACTGAGTCTCCCCCAAGTTTAACTTTCAACTCCAAAATGCTGAGGTGAAGCGTTAATAAACCGCAACATCCCAGTCCCTGTCCTAAGCCTACAGAGTATCCTCGAATTTTAAGACAAAAAATTCTACTCCCAAGTAGCAACTGAAGGTGTCAGACACATCTGATCTACTACTGCAGAACTGAAATTTACTGATTTTTTTTTTTCATCCAGAACTAGTTTTATGTGGCAAACTGTCTTTCAAGCTACAGGAAGAACCTTTTACTGCTTTTTCTTTCACAGCTCTGAGAACACACATTATCAATGTTAATACTGTGAGTATGGATGGATTTCAAATTTTTTTTTGCACCAAAATAAACTTATTGTTTAACTGTATTCTTCCACAAACTTCATGACGTATCCTATTTCTTGGAGCTACAATAAATACGGGTTAAAGAAAACTAAAATTTAACTCTGAACACATTACACAATTTCTTTTTTTAGATTTGTTCCTTTAAAAACATCTTTTGATACGTCTCTCAAAATAACAGAAAAGATCAATCAAGATTAAATAAGAACCTCTCATGGCTGCGACCACATTTTGGATGGGAGTCATTCCACAATCAGGAGGAAGCATCCTGAAGACTAAGAGGTGGGGAGTTGGTTTAATACCATGGAAAATGCCATTCCCACAAAGATATCCCTCCATTAATTTCAGAAATCTTCAACTGCGCAAATGGGCTGTCAAACAAGTTCTGAAGGATCTGTGTGACTTCACTCTTCCTATTTCCTTTCAGAAAGGAAAGTCTCTCCTGGGATTGGGGGGGTGGGAGATAGGTGCTGCAGCCAGGTACTCACCCCTGCAGCCAGGTACTCACCCCCGTAAACTCTCCCTCCTGCGAAGCAGCAGTTTTATGACCATTCCGCTGTACCCACTTAAAAACAGACATACTATATTTTGTTTCTTGGTCTATTCAACAAGATCCAAAACTTAAAAGCCAAAGTTACTACTCAGAGGCCCAGGTTCCGCTGTACCCACTTAAAAACAGACATACTATATTTTGTTTCTTGGTCTATTCAACAAGATCCAAAACTTAAAAGCCAAAGTTACTACTCAGAGGCCCAGGTTAGATACAGTTGGCTTCTACATTTTCTGGCTAGTTCATTTAATAAATATCATGGTCAACCATGCGTACCTTATTCACCACTTTGCTTCCTAGCAGATCTGTCTTTCTGAGCTATAAGATAATGTTCAAAGATCAAATTAGGGTAATAAAAAATTTATATCACTACTCATCTATTTACAGTTGCCAGTTACTCTTCCTGTGGTCACGTGGCAGGCCACATGGCTCCAAGTTCAGCAGTATTTCATACAGGAACTGTTCACAGCTATTAACATTTAATTTTAAAATGCCAACGATCAAACAAAATTTCAGGGGGCTAAAAATCTGAAGGAACGAGGATTGTTGTTCATTATTAAAGGCATCCAACTTTCACTCCTAAAACCCGTGTGCCTTCCACCAGTACACACACATCCCTGCAGCCAGGCAAAGCAGAGGGTGTCAGCCCCAGCGTGCACCAGCGATCAAGACTCAAAGTCGGCTTCGTCCGATCATATAACACTGGTCCCTAAATCTGCGGCGTCCCACCCCAGGTCAGGAAGGCCATCTGGAAGACTGAAGAATAGATCTTGCAGCTGCAACCACCAGTTCCGAAGTTAAACCAATTCACGAGAAACCCTGTGTATACCAGGCTGAGTTATTATGGTCTTAGTTTTCTTATGTCTTTAATTAAGGCCAAAAAAAAATCACCTATCTTGCAAATTTGTTAAGAGAATCAAAGAGAAAACACAGGTAAGGGTGCTAAACACCGGGAATGGCACATAGGATGGCAAATAAGTAAGGGTAACTCTTGTGACGCTGTTGTTTGGGGGTACTGTTGAAATACAACTAAACTAGACAATGTGAAACTCAAACTTACAAGACCTTATTTTGGAGGTCGGGGAAAAACTCTTTTCACATTGAAAATATCTGGGTCTATCATCATCATTAACAAAAGTTTATCTGGTACTTTTGGTATTAATGTGAAAGACACTTCAGAGCAGAGACGAGAAGTAACCTCTGCCCTCAGGAAGCTTATACTTGAGGGGAAGCGAACATTAGACACGCACACAGTTATTGAATCACAGTTGAGATCAGTGTTTATAAAGAAGGCCTGCAAAGGCAGAAACGCACTAAGAGGACCAGAACTAAAATTTCCACGCAGACATCCCACCTCCCTCATTAAACCTAAGCCACACCTTTGAACAGACCTGATCTGACGGTTCCTAAAAACAAGTCATTAGCCCGACTCCTGCCGTTCCTACGTTCAGAAGTATACTCTGGAATTACAGAAACCGTGTAAAGCCTCCAGATAAATTTCCAATGTTTCCTACAAGGACTTCTTAAAGCGAGACAAAAATAACCTAAGAGAAGCAAGCGCTGGCTTCCAATGCACTTCGACTTCATGATCGAAGGCACCTCTGAGATCAGACACCAGCGTTTCTTCCCGCGCACACCGTCATGTATGATGCCTTGTCTTCACAGGTTTTATTGGAGGGTGCACTTCCTAGTAGTTTCTGTGATTTTTAACATCAGAACAGCCCTCGCTTGTTTACGACAGCAGAATTCCGCCTCACGCAGCTACCTGGTACAGTCGGTCTCCCGCCTGAGAAATCGCCCACACAACAATGCGGCGCCCACTCCGTCCACCACCAGCCCCCGGGCCCGGGTCCGCGGGAGCTGGCCCCGCGCTGCCCACCGGGGCCGGCCAAGTCTCAGGAGGACGGGGAGAGGCGCGACTGCGCGATCGCCCCAGCTCGCCCCCACCGAAAGGCAGCCGAGACTTCCCTGGGGCCGCCGGAGCCCACCCCCGCGCCCGCCCCAGCCACGGCCGGCCGACACGAGTGGCCCCGCACGCGCGCAGGCGGGTGCCGCGCCGCAATGAATGGGCGCGCAGCCGGGAGCCCACAGCACCGCCTAGCAGGGCCCGCGCCCGGCTGACAGCCCCGGCGGGCCGGGCAGCACCGCACCGCCCGCCCGCGGAGGCCCTGCTTCCTCACCCTTCGCTCGCAACCCGCTTTTTTTTTTTTTTTTTTTTTTTTTTTTTTTAAAGAAAAGGATACGGATTAGATACCTGAGCCAAGAGTTCACGCATCCCTAGGTGCCCGCCTGAAATCCCAAATTACTTTGCCAACTTGAGGCGCCCCCCGAAGCCTCCACGCGTTCCGACTCCCGCACCCTCCAGCGAGGAGAACCGCCAACAGCCCTCTGCCCTCGGACGCACCGCACCCCTAAGGCGGCGAGCGCGCACCGCACCCCGCAGCCGCTCCCCAGCCTGCCGCGGACGCGCGGGGTCGCCGCCCCCGGACCCTCGCCGCGGCGCCGCAGGAGACACCTCGGCCCCGCCGCCGCCGTACTTTTGTTTTCTTCTGCCGCATCCAGGCCCGCCGCCACCTCCCCAGCGCGAGGAAACCTGGCCACCCCCGGGCCGCAACTAACTTTCCGGGGCGCCCGGGGGACCCCCGGCCCGGACCCGCCCGCCGCCCCTCGGGGCCCGGGGGAGGGGGCTCCGGCCTCGGCGGTCACGGGCGCCGCCGCTCGCGCTTTCGGTGGCCACACCGGAGGAGCGGCCGCAGCGCCGGCCCGAGGTGACACCTGTGTCCCCCCCTCGCCCCGCGCGGCCGCAGCCCGCTCGCCCCCCGACGGCGCGGAGCCTCGAGTCCTGAAAAGTTCTCGGCCGCTGCCGCCGCCCCGAGCCCTCGCCCGCCCCGCGCACCCGGCCCTTCCCGGACTCGCAAACTTCGGCGCCGCCCCGGAGAGACGCGGTCCGCGCACGCCGCGTCCCCCAGCGGCCGGCCGCCCCGCCGGGCTCCGCTCGGCCGCCCCGGCGCGCCCGCCCGGCACCTCGTTCCCGCCGCGCCCCCGCCACGCAGCGGCCGGCCGCTCCCCGCGTCCCCGGCTCCAAAGTTACTTTGCGAGGAGGCGAACCCGCGGCTCGTTCCCCTCCATCGCGCGAACAAGTTTCCGTCCCCGCCGCCGCCGCCGCCCCCGGCGAGCCCGCTCCCCGCCGCCCGCCCGCGCCCGCACCTCCCGGGCAGCGGCCGCTCCCCGCACCGAGCGCCCCGCCGCGCGCCTGCCCGTCCCCGCGGCCACCCCGCGGGCCCCCGGCCGCCCGTCTCGCCCAGAGTGCGGTGCGTGCGTGAGTGCGCGCGCGCGTGACGGCGGCGGGTGCGGAGCGGAGACACTTACTTCTCCCGGGCCTGGCTGTCGGACGGGACGGCGCTACTGTTACTCTTGCCTTTGCCGTACATGCTTGTGCCGAGAGCAGCTCCCACTGTCACGCACCTGTCAACCCATCACAGCCTCCCCGGGAACAGCCCCGTCCCCATGGCGACCACGCAGCCACCCCCACCATTGGCCGCCCCACGCCGGGGCTCCGCCCCCTTCGCCCAGGCAACGCGCGAGACTGACAGGCGCCCCTCCCGCCGGCGGCCGAGGCGCGCGCGGCGGCGGCTCCGGCCTCCGCGGCAGTCCCCTCCCCGGCTCCCGCCCTCCCTCCTTCCCTCTCCGCCCCCTCCTCCTCCCGCTCTCCTTCCCCCTCCCCCCCAGCCCGGGCGCACGCGGGGAATTAGAAACTGCTCTAGGAGGATTTTAAACAACTGGCTGTTCTCGCCGCCGCCGCCCCTCCCGCCGCGCCGCCCGCGCCCGGCTCCTCACTGGAGAGAAGGCGCCGGGAGGAGGGGAAAGTGCGGCCTGGAGTCTCCGGCAGGAGCCGGCGGAGCTGGAGCCGGGCGGCCCCAGACTCGGGGGCGCCGGCCGCCCCTCGCGCGCCCGTGACCCCGCGCCCTCGCCCGCTCCCGCCGGCCCGGGGACACCCGCGCCGCCCCCTGGACCTCGGGCCCGGTGGCCCCGAGCGCGCCCTGCCCGAGCTCCCGGGGAGGGCCTGCGCCCCCCCACCCCCGGCCTGGGCGCCGCCGCCCCGGGAGCACCTGCCTGGGGGTGGGGGGGGGAGGTCCCCACCTGGATCGCCGGCCGGGCCGCCCGTGGCGTCCCCAGCGGGCCGGGCTTCCTGACCCCTGCCGTGGAGTAGGCCTGGAAGGACCTCGGTGCCCGGTGCCCGGTCAGAGTAGGCCCCAGCCGAGGTGGCAGGGCTGCCCGGGACTATTTCTGGACCCAGATCCCCAAGCCCATGTTCCTAAACACGCAAAGTTCCTAACAGACAGACTACCTGGCTTCCGATGGAACTCCATCGTTCACCTGTGGGAGGTCCTTGGCTGCAGGTTCAGGGAGGAATGGGATTCAGAGGGCTAGGGGCCCGTGCAGGTTCAGGATGCTGGGGGGCTGGGTAGGAGAGGGGGCTTCAGGTGGACAGCTGTGCGGAGGGAGGAATGGGATTCAGAGGGCTAGGGGCCCCCCGTGCAGGTCAGGATGCTGGGGGGCTGGGTAGGAGAGGGGGCTTCAGGTGGACAGCTGTGCGGAGGGAGGAATGGGATCCAGACGGCTGGGGGCCCGCTCTGTTCCACAAACAGAGCTTGAAGCGTTGTGGGGGGGGGGGTAGCATCATAAAAATGCACATAGACACAGAGGGGGCAGAAACAGCTGAAAGGAATAAAACCAACAGACCCGTGGGAACTCGAAGAAGGGGTTGTGAAGACCAAAGATGACCCAAAGACTGGGAGAAAAGAAAAAAAAGCACCCGCCACCCTGACCCCAAGGAAAAGCAGGTGGGGAGGAGTGAGATCCAAGATGAGAACCTGACGGTGCTGCTCACGCCCCATAGGGAGTCCCTGGCCCAGTCCTGGCTCCTCCGCTTCCCATCCGGCTTCC